TACAGCGTCCCTAGCGGATACTTTCAAGAACTAAAGTACGGCCAACGAGAAGCGATACCAAATTATGTAAATGTTACAGGAAATGTATGAAATCCGTCATTGTATACAATTCCTAGGAATTGTGTATAACTCCTAAAATCACCCGGAAATGTGTGATGTAAATTATATTAGACACATTTCCTAGGAAATTTACACATTTCCTAAACAGCAATCGGAAATGTAATTAAGATTTCAATGAATACGCGTGGACATGCAGTGCGAGGGGAGGATATTGCATCATCCGATTACGCGGGATCTCTATCGAATCGCCAAATTTTTTGTACGTCTATGGCACACAAATTTTTAGCCTAAATTTTTTACACAAAATTATTTTTATTACGCCACTTTTTTTCTCCGAAACTTAAATGGCGCTACCGCGCCGCGGCAGCCGTGTATGTGTAAGGTCGCAAGTCTAACTTAACCTAACCGAGACTTTGTTATCCAGCTACAGGAGTACTAAAACCTTCATGCTTAATAAAGAGATGTTAAAATTAGGGATTTCTAATAGGTACTTCAGCGTAATATGCGTGATGCCGAAAGAAAGGTAGGCAAATATTTTTTTCGGCCAAAGTATAATAGTGCGAAAACAACTGTCAGGCTAAACAATAATAATTGTGAGTTAAAAGTAACTATCCGCCAATGTGGTTTGGCTAAATGAAATTTAATGTGGTTTGGCTAAATGAAATTTTAGGCGTACCGAGGGGCACCCGATCACGCGACCGCCCTTGTGCCGCTTAGTTTTATACATTTTCTAATACAATATTGGAATTCTATAAAATTCCTAGGAATAGTATACATTTCCTAGGATATGTGTGTATTAAAAAATCTCTGAAGCAATATTTTATACATCTCCTAAATAGCTTCGGAATTGTATACATTTCCTAGGAATAGTATACAATTCCTAGAATTCATACATTTCCTGTAACATAAACAAACCCAATGAGAATGTCATTAGGAATAGCAGGGGTGCATAACTTTTAATAATTAGATTATTTTTGTCGACAATACAGTTTTAAAAAATACTTATGTGGTAAAACAAAAAAAAAATAGATGTTTTATTGAATTTTATTTTTGTTATAATTTGAATTATTGTATAATGTAGATTTAAATTAAATTACGAGAATAATAATATAATTTTTGCCTCACAAACTGTGTGCCCGGTGTATGGCAACAGGTCTACCCCTTTTTCATAGATATCTAAATATATCGGAATAATAAGAACCGACAAGTAACAGATTCGCCCTCGTGAATTGCAACAACTACTTATACTAAAATGGATGTCCGAATGTTGACGACCCCTCTTGACTTTGACATATTTTGGCGGGAGAACGAGACATTGCGACAAATTCACAACATGGAAAGAAAAAGAATAGATTGTCAACTCGACAATCGAATCGATCTTTCGTATTGCTCGCTGCTAGTTGGCCGTACTTTAGAATTTTCATAGATTTTTTGACGCACTCGATATCGACCACGTTTGATGTAAACTCACACTACGCCCCATGATTAAACGCTATACGAAGCGTCCGACGTCAGCTCTAACGTTTCTACATCCTTACACCGACGTCAACGTCTGAGAGACGTAGTAGGTACATTTCTATAGTGACGCTGTACGCGACCTACGGCGTTTGAGACCACAGCCTAAAATCGAATTTTACAGCCAATTAATATCAAACTCTTTTATAATGCAGCTGGAATTTGCTGCCATTAGCCAAGGTCGTCAAATAACAAGCTAATGTTATATCATTCCATATAATATGATGCCATTTTCTTTTCGGTCCAGGAATCATGAAAATAATTCGGCACATTATGACGCCTTATTGTTCAAAATTTAAGTTTCAAACTGTATATTTGCTTAATGTAGATATAAATTATTTATTACTTCTCACCCATGACTTCGATGGTATAATTGCCAAATACACTTTTAACCCATTTAGACCTACCGTACCCTATGTGGTACAGTATCATTTTGAAAATATTTTGAAGTACCAAACTGTTGTTAATTTTAAAAAATTATTGTGTCAGTAAGCTTTAAGTGATTATTTTACATAGAAATATTTAAAAATTTGTTTTGACAATTGGTTTCGGAAATATTTATGAAATTCCTCGACAGAAAACAAAAAAAAATATTTACAATGTATTCAAGAAGGTATATTTCTTATTATTTATGGTAAATTATGTTATTTATCAGTTTTATTCCAAAAATAGAGTACAATAGATATCATGACTACAAATAAAATATTATTGAGATAATTTTTATACGCTTTATTCCAGTCTAAAATAGGTGTACCGTATAAGGTACAGTAGGTATATGCATGAGCAAATCATGCGAGAAAATATAATTTATTTTTATTGTTTTTATTTATTCATGCTTCACTATATTGCCACAACTCATGAAAAATTTGATAATTTCAGCAAACATAAAGCAATCTTGGTATTTTTCTACTGCTGTCTTGTCTTGTCTTGTCAGATGACCGCTAATGATGATCAGACTGACGAAGATTCAGGCGAGAAAGATAATGTCAATGTAAATAATTACCCTCAGAGTTTTCTTCGATGGATTTGCTGAATTTCCATCGTCGTGTTGCTAAATGCGATTATAAATAGCACTAAACGTAACAAGTCAGAAGAAGCCAGGTCTTCTTCAGCTATCCTCACTAACTTCGGAGAAGGTAGAAAAAAAAGCCAAACCTGGTTAGTATCACAGAAAACGTCTTACAAGATATACAAAAATAAATAAAAACCTTAGTATGTTTTGCATGCTTCTAGACCTACTGTACCCTATATGGTACGGGCTCCCCACGGCCCCTCATTTATGGATTATTTTTTTAAATATTTTTTTCATGATTTTTATGCTTCCCTTTGAAAGTTTTTACTGAAAAATCAAATTTTATTTACAAAAATAATTATCGGTCTAAATGGGTTAACTCTTCTATTAGTCCACAGTAAAATTTTGGAAAGACTAAATCAAGAGGCCAAAAAAGTCGTCAAACTTGCGGTCATGATAACGACTGTCATGTTGATGAGTCAGGTGTGAGTAATAAACTTTAATGCTTCATCTTGCAAGGAACAGACGCATCATTGGGTCATTCAGTTTCTATTGCAGGAATACGACCTTCTCTAATTGACTTAGGATTCGGCCCCGGGCACATTCCGAAGAGGCTGGGCTGACCCGATGTTCTAATATTTACAACTCGTTCGCCTTTCGCCACGGAAAAAGTGGGAATGGCTCTATTATGCTCTGCCCTTCTGCTACAATAAAAGTCAATATCACGTTGCGTAGAGCCATGACTCATGCGAAATCGTCTTGGTTTCAAAAACTTTACTAAGGTCTTCGACGATTGCTGACATTACACGAATAATCATCCAACTACCGAACAATGAAGGGCGGATTTGTGAATAACGACGATTTCGGAAATCTGGTCTTTCATTCACACCAGTCTTAAGGATTTGTCACTGCATGCGGTCTCTGCGATCAAGTCAAAATAACTCCGCCCGCATCATGTTACATCATCATTTACTTTGACCTGACCGCAGACCGCATCCAGTATGGCATGTCCTTTAACAACTTTACTCTCCAGTAGTTATTACTGTCATCAGCAAATCTATCTAGAGCAAAATGGTAAAACATTCTCAATTCATTTTGATCCATATACTAAAGGTGTTTAATTAAAAATCTATTAGAGAACTTCGATATTTTTTTACTAGGTTAATTAGTTGATTTGCTGACGACATACAAGACGTTTCAAAAAATCTACGAATTACTTGATTTTTGAACGTTTGGAGTTCTCGATGTGTTGCGAACTGGTTAGGAGATTGTTCAAAATGTAGCCTCTCCGTTGAGTCAGTGATATTCGCCGTTCGGATGTTGGATGATTGTGCCGAGTCAGCATTGTCGGTCCGCTTCCCACTCGGAGCCACACGTTCATGCTGTTTCTGCAAAAATCATAGAACGCCGCCGCATCGCGTAAATTGCCCGCGGGTCCGATTGCAAAGTTACACCCGTGTCGGCGTATACACGGGATTATAATCAAAACAAACATTTACTATAAATACCTTTTTACGAAGGTATGAGTCAGTAAAATTAAAAATCACGTTACTGCTAAAAGATATGTTTTGTGGGTCCCATGAACGAAAGGTATTGAAAGTAGGATTGTTTTAGGAACCAGACAAATAGCCAGTCATGAGTTCTTTGTGCGACACCTTATGAGCCATTTAAACAAAGAGCAAACTTTAAAATTAGCACTGCCTACACAAATAAAATACCTTGCCTATTACTTTTTGGGGAAACGCAACATGATTTACATCAATAAACGTTACGATTTAAGATTATACCATGCTTTAATTTAAAATTGTATGGAAAAATAACTTACAATATAATCACTTTATAAGTCAGTTTCACAATCAGTTTTAATTAAAAAATACAACCAAGTCAACAGGATCATTGTGAAAGTGACTCATTATGTCGGGTTACCTTGCTGAATGTTGAAAGTTTCATTCATCCTTCTTGATGTCAAAGGCGTATATTTAAAACTAGTCGTGCGTGAGATAAAATATATCGCCATCTCAAATTGCTTCAAAATTTGTTTAGAACCCATATGAGATAATTTGAATAAATTCGTACATTTGTGAAGATGAAAGCATTGGAGTTTGTCCCCTGGAATAAATTCCTTAAAAATACTTAGGCCCGCCCGTGTATCGAAGTTGTTAACCCTGCAAGGGTCACACCTCTTAGCACAACCCTCTTGCAGGTAAGAGGTGCCGGGCCTGTAGGAATAAAATACATGGCATTAATTAAGTGTATTAAGCACATGAGCCATCGAGTGCTTCACAGCTCGCGGCTCAAACGAGCTGCAAATATTACGCTACTACTAAAACATTATACCTTCAAAATAGAGCAGTGATGCATTAAGATGGCTCAAGTGAGCTTAGAGTTATGAAAATGTCGACAGTGATCCTACCTTTAACAGTGTATTAATTTCCCTCAGTGACGTGATCGGGAATCCCTCCTTTTCCTTTTCCATTTTGAGACGTTTAAGAGCGACAATTTCATCGGAAGTTTTGTCACGAGCTCTGTAAACAACGCCGTATGTGCCTTCTTCTATTCTGTTCAGACATTGAAACTCCTCTACTGACCGACAACCCTATAAAACACGACACATTAGAAACAATGGAAATCATTATTATGTAACTATGTAAAAGATGAATTCCTGTTCAACACTGAATAAAAGATAAACTCAATTCTGTATCAAACTTCAAACAAATGGTAGTATAATCTTAGAAAGTAAAATATATTTCTAGTGACAAATATGACTTGTTTAAACAGAGAGTCAACTTACATAACACAATTTTTAATCAGACAACAAATGGATCACATTTTCCGATACTAGCTAGGTATGTGCCTAATCATAACTTGAAAATATTTAAAGATTTTATAGAAAAAAATGGTGTTAAATAAATACATAAAAAGGTTTAACTTTTACTTACTACAATAACAAGTTATATGTGGATCACTCAAAAAATATAGCTAAACAAATATCATGTAAAAACAATTCAAAGTTCACTGAAAAATGAATTCTACAGAAAATATAATGTTTTACCTGGAGAGCGGGATAATAAGGGGGCAAAGCACTAATAGCTTCCTCTCTCTTTTTAGCTTCTTCATCATCCACTTTGGGTTTCTCTTCTTCGGGAGCTGGTTTGCCATTTTCTCCTGGAGGTGGCGGAGAAAAAGAATGTGATCTACTCCTACTTTTGGATCTAGAAAGTGACCTGCAAATAAAAATAAGAATAATTTTTTATACTTCAATGTGTTCTTCCAAAATAGTTGTGGGATGAAATAGACTATACTATACCTTCTTGATCCATGAGATGATGGAGTTCTATTATCTGAATTAGGAGTATGTGATTTCGATCTAGACTTTGGGCGAGCTTTTTCAGGAACTTTCTCCTTTAATTCTTCCTTGTCTGATTTAATATCCTCTTTATTATTGTCTTCCTCATCATCCTCAGACTTTGAGGCAGCATCAGAATCCGAGTCTGTACTAGAACTGTCATCATCGGTTTCACTGTTGGAATGTTCGCCTAGAATAAAGCATGTATGATTAGAATAATTTTTAATGGAATTCATTAACAGTTTTTCTAAAAAAAAAATATTTTGGATGCTTACCATCTTCAGGTTCGGAATGTGGAGAATTGCTTTTCATCTCAACATCACTGGCATCAGAGACAGTAACAACTGAGTCTCCGTATGCAGGGGAATGATTGGTCTTTGACTTTTTACTGGACACCTCTTCCGGTGATACTGATCGCTTCTTTCCACGGCGGCGGCGTTCTTCGCGTCTAGCTTCCAGCTCAGTGCGTGATTCATGTTTCCTTTTTTCCATTTCCCGTTCTGTAACACAAGAATAAAATCGTGAGCTGGTATACACAACATTTATTAAAAGTCATCAAGGAAAATAGGAAATTTATTTTTAGAAATTTTTTTATTTTAAAATTTTACCTGCTTCAAGCAATTTTTTCCTTCTTTCCTGCTGGTGTTTATCCAAAGTGACATGGCGATCCGATCTCATCTCTTTTTCAGAATAGTCAGATGATCTCTTAGAGTCTTGACCTTGAAGTTCCTTCGATATTCTTTTGCTCAGTAATCTAGACCTTAGGTCTTCCAATTCCTTATCTCCAGAAGTTCTATCCCTATTTTCTTTTTCATTGTTATGATTACCGTGCCCTTCTTCAGCCAATAATCTTAATCTTGACTCAATTCTATTATTTTCAACTCCTTTTCTATCACTATCTGAATATTTATATTGACGTTCACGATTTAAGTACACATCACGTTCCCGTGGTACATCTTTCTCCTTATAAGACTCTTTGTCCCTGTATGCTTCACGAGGTCGTACTGCATCTCTCCCAGAAGGATCCCTATAAGCTTCTCTTTCCTTGTAATGATCTCTTTCTCTATAAGGGTCTTTGTCTCTGTACATATCTTTATCTCTTACTTCCCGTTCTCTGTACAATTCCTTTTCTCTGATATCCTTATCCCTAAAAATTTCCTTTTCTCGATAAACCTCCTTATCCCGATAAGCTTCCTTGTCCCTGTATGCTTCTTTTTCACGATAAATTTCTTTGTCTCTATATGCTTCTTTCTCCCTGTACAACTCTCGATCCCTATTGTATGCATCTTTTTCCCGATAGGGGTCTTTTTCCCTATAAGCCTCCTTTTCCCTATAGTATTGCTTTTCTCTGTAATATTCTTTGGTCATTTCTTCACGGTCAGTAGTTTTACTTAGTTCTCTTTTTGATTTCTCTGGTTTGTCACGTTCCCTGTTAAAGAAACAATGTAGATGAATGTGAATAAGCCAGAAGGCCAATCTTATTTAGCCATCATAGTTGTGAAATATACACTACCCAAATAATATATCTACACTAATATTATAAAGAGGAAAACTTTGTTTGTTTGTTTGGTTGTAATGAATAGGCTCAAAAACTACTGGACCGTTTTTAAAAATTCTTTCACCATTCGAAAGCTACATTATCCACGAGTAACATAGGCTAAATTTTATTTAAAAAGAATAGGGTTCCGTAAAATATGTAGATAATGTAGTTCACGCGCGCGAAGCCGCGGGCGGAAAGCTAGTTAAAAATAAAAATAAACATAAATTCTGACATTAAAAATAAAATACAGGGCCAGTAATGTAATTAATAGGAAACTTTTTAATACCTATGTAAAACAGTAAAGCCAGCAATACTTAACCTGCAGGCCTGCATTTATAAAATTGTTTGTTGGAGCTCACATGAACCTAATCACCTTTGTTCTATGGAGAAGTACACCAGCTATACTATAATTCCAGGTGCAATATCATCATCACAATTTATATGGACACATCCAAGCTTAATTTGGTTGAGCTAGCAGCCAGAAAACAAATGTGGATTAAGCATAACTTACCTGTAAAGATGTTTCTTTTCTTTCCGGGATACTTCTTTGAATCTCTCTTTACCAGCTCTTTTGTGACTCCGTTTGTCTCGATGTGATGAACGAATCACAGCCTGTGGTGGCTTTATAACTAAGGAATCAGCATTATCGCGGTCCTCATCTGATAAACTATAAAATAACTTAGGTTAGGACAGCAACAATAAAAAACACCAATTAGGTGATGATGAGGGACTTATTAGTTTTGAAAAACACGTCACATTGTGAACCCTTCACCAAAACTTATGATGCGCAAAGGCTAGTAGGTTACAAAATTATATTTTCACTTGGAAGGACTATGGTTGGAAAAAGTAGACAAGAACATTGGGCATTTTTCCTTGAATGACCATGCATCCCAAAAGCACATCGTGCAAGAAACATGTAGTAATAAGTTTTCATGTAAGTTACATTTTAGAAATAAGACTAGATTTACCTGAAATCCATTTCGTCTTGAACAGGACTGCGTGCTAGCTCTCCATCTTCACTTTGATCGTCATCGTAATTGCTCATTGTGCAAGTCAACCACTCTAAACATAAACACTGCACAAACTAATAGTAATAATAAAAGGAATTTAAAATAATTTACAAAATAAAAATTACGTTTTGTAAAATAAAACACAAACATGAGAAATCCGAGCGTCCAATGAAAATTCAATGTCCGAAGCACTCAAAAAGTCAAGAACGCCATCTTGTTTTGAGCATAAATATTTTCTGTAGGTTGGTAGGATTGCCTTTCCATAGAGTTTTTAGTGCTGCCAGTGCATCGATATTTCGATTTCTGCTCGCCTCGCAGTAGCGGGCATAGAGCCGAATCCACAATTAGAGAGTATGCCGAATCAGCCGCCGGCGCCGGTAGCGGAGGCACTACACCACAGACTAAACAGAGTAGCTGTCAGCTGTCACTGCACTGACAGTAGTGACAGCTGTTTAGATTTCTGCAATTTGTGCTTTGTATTGTATTTATTTATGAAATTTAAAATATTCTAATTAAAAAATAATAGCCGTCTTCCAGAATACTATTATTGATCGAGAATGTTTCTAAATTGCTGATTCAAACATTTGGGTCGATGCGTTATTCATAATGGTAATTAAATATTTAATTATTATAGATTATTTTTTCATGTCTGTTCATTTAGTAATAAAATTCTAGTAACAGCAATGTTGCAGTGACGAAATCTACATTTGTTAAAATTCAATAGTGCTAAAAAGTAATTTAAATTAGATAGCATAATTATAAAGTATGGTATTTTTGCAGACCTTGAAAAATAATATTAGCCTTCGTGTTACTTTATCAAGGCATAAAAAATTAACTATGTATAATTAATTTAAAATACATTTATGTAAGCCTATACTTACGCAATTCATACCTAGCCCTAACTATAAAAGAGTATTTTTAAAATTGTAACCCTAAAATATTCATGTTTTAGAATAGTAAGATATTAAACACAATCGCCAATGCCATTGACAGTAAAGAAGAAGTTAAGAAACGAATTGAAAATGGTAAATTAGTACTGCAGGAGTTACTTACATGCATTCAAAATTGCCAAAATAGATTTGGTGGAAAGTCAGAGTTGGCTACTGAAGACGACATTCGGTAAGTGCTTAGATTTATTATCAATCTTAGTCTTTAGTTTTTTTATACAATATCAATCAAATTAATTAATATAATTTTTTTATTACAGAATAGCTCAATTATGTGAAAAATGGGAAAGAGTGCTAAGCCATGGCATTAGGACGAATTTATCTAATTCAGCAATACATAACTTAGTGTCAGCTGGCTTAAACTTTACTTTCAATATAGTCAATGTTGGTAAGTCAATAATTTAATTCATTTACATCAATCAACATCTATGCAAGTAAATGATACAGAGGATTGTGAACATAATTTTAATTCGGTGTGTTTTATGTAAACCTGAAAATTTTATAAGAGGGTACAACAGCATTTGATTGATTGGATGATTTGGAAGTACAGCTAAAATGAAATAAATTAAATTCAACATTGCAAACAGGCGATGTTGCATAGGATGCTCTTTTACTGAGCCAATTTATTTGTGTGTGTGAAACAATTGTTGCCTTTAACTTCTACCCACATCTGTTCTGATGCTCTTACTCTTACTCTCTATGAACTTACTGGAAATATTTTTTGTTGTTTTATTGTGGAGGAATAAATCAAGATCTTAACTTAAACCTTTTAATTGCAGGGAATTCACTCTGGAGCTACACATGCTTGCATGTTACTAAGCATGAAAAAGAAAGGTTCAAAATATTAGCAAATATCAACACTCCTCTTGGATATTTTAGAGCATTCCTTCGTGCATCTTTAAATGAGAGATCTTTGGAAAGGTGAAATATGTGATTTTTTCAGTTTTTAAAGTGAGATTTTCTAATTTGTACAACTAATCAAACCTGAAAAAAGAGCAAAGCTGCAGATCATGACTCAACTGCTAACCCAGTGATTTCTAAATATGTATTTATATTATGCAAATAGAGTAATATGTGCTTATCAGATTTAACAGGGTTCATAACAGTCAACAAATGATAATTTAAAAAAAATATCACAATAAGTACAAATTTTAATTTTATTTACTGATAGATATCTTCAAAGCTGGATGTCGCATGGCCTTTTAATGGAATACTATGAAGATGGCGCTCTAGTTCGCGACACGGAGGCATCAAATCTGCTTCCTAATATGGCTTCAGGTAAATGACCTACAATCACTTCTCTACTGTTGTTTACTGTAGTAAAGTATTAAACATTAAAATAATATTTACATTGTTACAGGCTTATCTTCCATTTTATTCGCGTTATCAATTGACAGACCTGAATTGAATGAATCACAGCAAACAAACCAGATTAGCAGAGCGGAACATGTCATTCCATTGCCGACACCAGTGAAGTCTAGTAATATGAAACGGAGACCCTTACGCCAAGTGATATCTTTCGATAAAGCTGAACAACAAAAGAGCAATCTCAAAGAAAAAAGAAAGTCCTTGGGCCCCATTGACCAAGCCTCTGACACTTGGAAGAGTGCTCCAGCAACCTGTCTAAATTCACCTGATCCTAAAGAAAATACCCAAATTACTTGTAACAGTGATCCAACGAGTTCCGAATGTAAAACTGGTATTAGACATTTCTTCCCTGATAGTGTTAAAGGCATAGATAGCCCCTCACAAATCCTCTCTAAGCTATCAGAATGTGCTAAAGAGATTTTTACCTCTTCAAACAGTATTGAAACTAATAACGCTATGAAAGACGACCTATCAGAACTAAGCATAAACAATTTGAAAATATCAGAAAGTGACAGTGAAGAAGTTGCTGGTAGCATAGATGGCAGCACTTCTTGCTTGGAGCTATGCTTCACTGAAGATGAGAGTGTACCTGAGGATAAAACTTTGAGTTCAGTTCTAGAATATAAGGAAAAGGAATGTCTCAATTTACAAATGAAGTGCAGTCAATTAGAGGTAGCAAGTAGGGAAAAAATACAAAAGTTGGAGAAAGTAGTTTTAGATTTGAGCAAGTGAGTCAGTATGAAATGAATAAGAATATACTATATTTATTAGCAATAATATATGATTAATATCTAAGTATATTAAACACTGTTTGTATAATACTGTAGAAACCCCAATTTTTTTTTCTTATTTTTACAGGGAAAATGATCGATTAAAAGATCAGTTAAGGAATTACATGTCAGCTGTAGAAATGGGAAAAGCTTTAAAAAGTGGGAGTGGTGACAGTGAAGAAGTGAGTCTGTATGAGAGAAAACTTGTTCAGGTATGTCTAGATTTAAATTATTTTAGTAAAATAGAATGATTTAACTACACAGATGCCTTAAACCAAAATATAAATTCAGCATAGTAGTTGCTTGTTAGTTCAAGTTACATGCTATATTTTTCTAAAATAGTATGTTAAGTATTATTTCTGTTGGGTCTAAATAAAGACTGGTATATAAATGCTTCGTGGCGCTAATTTCGCCTTTTGTAATGTTGTCTCTATGCAATGAAGATTTAAATAAACAAACCTCAATGACTATTTTAAGTATTTTGTGTTTCTCGATAAAATTATTATAACGATTCTCCCAGGTGGCAGAAATGCACGCTGAACTCATGGAATTCAATCAGCACTTGCAGCGTCGATTGCAAGAGCTGGAGAGCACCGCTATGGAAGTACTGGACTACCCCGAGTCGAACGTTAAAGCTCACATTCCTACTGCATTTTTAGTTGGCAAGAAAACACATTCCTATCATGTTTACCAGGTAGGTTCAACAGCATCGATAGTATCGCTTGATAGCAGTTTCTTGTACCTTCATTATAAAAACAATCCCTAAATATAATTCATTTATAATGTTGAAAGTAAATGGTTGGTATTATTTTTAGATATTTCTCAAAGTGGGTCAAGAAGAGTGGAATGTATACCACAGATACGCGAAGTTTCACGAGCTTCACACTCAGCTGAAGAAATGTCATCCGGATATAGCAACATATAAATTCCCACCAAAGAAGACCTTGAGAAAACGAGTAAGCTATCTTAATTTTATACATGTTGATTTTCCAATTGTTTAGACGTCATCGATGCATGAGCCTTACAAGGTCGTCCGATATTATTAAGAGCTCTTACACACGAGCAGCACATTGACGACAGCAAAAGCGACAGCAGTCGCCGACAGCCTTCTAAATTCGAGTTCCATATTATTTCATTCATCGAAACAATGAAATAATATGGAACTCGAATTTAAAAGGCTACCATAATAAAACATTAAAAAATAGAGCATGGGCGTCGGTGTGTGTAGTATCGTTCTCTATTCAATAACATTTCTTAAACCCACAATGATCGGTTCTTTCTCTTTCGTCGACGACGACGGAGTAAATGCAACAGCAGTGTTTCTTCAATGAAATCCATTTTCAACTGACTGGCTCCTGTACAATGACGTACGCCGACACGGTCGTCGCAGCAAGCTGTCGACTCGTCGACGGCAGACGTCGACGTGTCGACAGCTTGCTGCGGGCACGTCGACGGCTAGCTGCCGACAAGTGACGGCGACTGCGGTCGCCTTTGCTGTCGTCAATGTGCTGCTCGTGTGTAAGAGCTCTAAGACCTACATTTTGACTAGAGGCGATTCGTTTGTGTGTCTTTTTCTAGATTTTTATATCTTTTTCACTTTTCTACACCTGTAAAAGAGTCAAATAATATAATAATAATGAAGAAAATGGTCTGACCATAATAAAATTCTCATTTTGAATTGTATCGATAGGTATAGGTTACACCGCGCTTAATCTGAGTCAGTACTAGCGATTGTAGAACGCGACCGCTGTAACATACCTATTTTGTTACGTCAAATTGTCATAGAGACTTCAGATCAGATAGGTACACTTCAGACATGTATGTTGTGACAGCTGTTACATAACTAAACACTTCTGCAACGCTCCACGCCACAGGAACCGACTCAGTTGTGTGTTATAGATGTAGTTTGATGAACTTTTAGGAAATGACTTGTTGTACTTTCTCCACTTCAAAATAGATCTTCGTCATTGCGCCTGTAAATCGAACCAAATTCTTAACTCGAAAAAGTTCCTACAACCCGAACAAGTTAACTGCGCACCTCGCTAGAATGCGACTCTCTCGCACTTAGCCGCGTCGATGTGACGTCACGGCCGCCAGATGCGCAGTTAACTCGACCAGTAGGCCTAAGATGCGCGCCGCGATAAGCGGTTATCACGCCATTTTATCGATTTTGACGTCGATAAAAGTTATCACGGCGTAGTTTATCTGATTTTGAATTTTAGTTTCAGTCACAATATTGTGCGATGTGGAAGTCATTGGGGGAGGCCTATGTTCAGCAGTGGACGTTCCGTGGCTGAAATGATGATGATGATGATAAAATTGTGTGAATATATTAGGATGCAGGGGTAGTGGAGCAGCGCCGCATCGCACTGCAAGCGTACCTGCGGCACGTCCTGCTGGTCCTACCAGAGCTTCGCGAGTGCACCAGCAGAGCGCAGCTCATCACGCTCCTGCCTTTCTTCGGGTTTGTACCCAACATTTATTTACACTTGTCGGAAACTGCAGCGTAGGATGTCAAAGGTAGCCAGAAGGCGCTGGATGCAGGCCGCTACCAACCGGTCGAACTGGATGTCATTGGGGGAGGCCTACAGCTGAAATGATGATGGTGATGATTCATTTATTTATTTTACGATTTTTTTATGTACTGCTTGATATTTTTTTACAAATGACCTGACACTATTAGAATGTTTTAAGGCTCGTCTTTATTTTTGATTTTGAACATGACCACAATTTTATAGTTCCTCTTTGTATAATTACTATATCTGTAGGATGGGATCTGTTTAACTTTTTAAAATACCGATTCATCTTTCCCGATTTATGTAACCTCACAGCCAGAAAATATGTAGCTACAATAAAATTATTACGGGCATTTAAGAGTGGATCATATCATACATTTAATAAAATATTAATTGCTGTGATGCACGATAATTATAATTAATTTTAGTAAAAAATGTATCTTTTCATTTACTTTGCAGAACCTCATCGACAACGAGAGAAAATGGATTTAGTCAGTCTATAAGCCGGCAGCAGTCTATTGATTCTGTTTCAACTTACGATGCACTATGATTATACTTTTCTAAAAACTATTTATACTGATAGTATTTGCATCCAGTACGAAGTAAGGGAACTACAATTATTCTACATACGATGAAACGGTCGGCAATAAAATAGAATTCAGAAATTCTGCGATGTAGTAATATGTAAAAAAAGGTGAGAATTTTATAATTTTGTTATCAAAGTATAGAATAGTAATAATAATAATTAGAATCTAGGAAAGTTTGAATCTTATTTGTATTATTAATATTATTTAAATACCAGAGAAATGTATTGCCTCATCATTTTATTTATTAGTCTGTGATATTACAAGCTAGCTTTATTGTTTAAAACAAATACTTCCATATATAACAATGTTCAAGATACAAATGACACGATGTATTAATATGTTATTGGCTTTGGTTTAAGGTTTTATAAAACGTATTTTTTAATGTATCAAACATCTTCACAACGCGGCAACGTCATATCACATTGTAGCCTTTAAAATTCATACAAATAATAATACAGTACATACTACGTAATTATAAAACTGTACAATGAACTAGTTTTAAAAACGTATTAAGAGTGAATATATTTTATTTAGATACATACCAAAAATAACAATTTATGAATATTATTTACCTACACTAATAAATGTACGAACATCAGTAGGTAAATAAATATAATTTTAAATTTAACTGGTTATTTCATTTCAATGCTTAACATTGCCTTGGAAAACTTCTAGACGAAGACAACATCACCAACAGCAGGTAGTGTCATCCACGAAGCGCTCCACCAAGGACGTCGAGGGAAGCGCGGGGTACGGGGAGTTTTTGATCCGATCGAGCGTCAGTCGCGAAATTATTGAGTGTGCGTGTGCACTCATGATGAATAAACTATACTTACGAGCAAAAGTATGGAATTACCTTCTTGTGTTTTGTTCCCACCTATCTGAAGAACTCGGATTTTTTATGCATCTAGGGTGATTCCATACTTTTGTTCGGGAGTGGTGGGGCGAGTCTTCATGGATGGCACTATCTATCTATACGCTGATTTATTCCTAAAGAAGGCTGGGGTAACTCTTTCTCTGGTGCGTTAAATTTTGATAAACTATTTCTAAGCGTTATGCTTCTTCGGCGATCACAACCTGGCTGGTGGGTGGCACCAACATCAATGTTTGGTAAAAATAGAGTTAGAAAATTCTAATCATTGGATTTACACTGGATGAACGAAGCACATACGTCATACAGGCATAGCGTTTAGCCCAGTTTTTTTTGTGTCAAACACCGTGAATGTCTGTCACGGTGTTACGTTTAAGCTTTAGCCAAACCAACGTGTGCAGATCGCGTCGGCGATGGCGATTACTGCGCGTTGATTTGGGGCTGAAGCTTTACGTGTCACCCCTTCCGCATTGCTCCCACAGGACAGGAACCCTACCTACACTCAGTTATCGCATGTATGGACACTATTAACATTTTTTGACGTCTATTTATGAAATACTAGCTTTTGCCTGCGGCTTCACCCGCGTGAATTTAGTTTGTCACAGATTGTCATAAATTATAGCCTATATGTTAATCTGGGTTATAAACAATAATACTGCAAAATTTCATCAAAACCCGTTCAGTAGTTTTTGCGTGAAAGAGTAACATCCAGACATCATGACATCCAACTTTCGCATTTATAATATTAGTAGGAAAATAAAAACTGTAAAATGGTGTGTGTGTCGTTATTCTAAGAGGAAAAGGGTCTGTTTTTAAATAAAAAGGCGCTCTCTAGCAAATGAAATTCATAATTTTATTTTCGTAATAAATAAAAATCAAGACAACACTCTCTTCGAGAATTTCCTATATATTAAATACATCATACAAAAGATGTCAATACGAACTAAATCACTTGGTGCAAAGGCAAGCCTTCCGGTTTGGGGTTCGCCCATCCAAGTAGAAGCAGCGTCGACCTCCGGTTTGAGCTATCTATGCAACAGGCGAGTGGAAACCGAGGATAGCCTCTTATTTATCTATATTTTTAACAAAACAACTAACTTAAAGATAAACAAAGACACATATCCTATACTCCTGGAATGTATCTTTGTAGAAATCTCCAGTTTTGAATGCAAAAAATATATTTGATCATGATTACAAAATAATGTATAGAGGTATGTAAAAAAAGCGTATTATCTCCTAAAATGAAAGAAAAAACAAGATAATTTAGGTTTATGATCAATAAATAAAATATAATAAAATCAGTATAGCTTAGAGGGGAAATAATTTACTATCAACTTTACACCTAAATTATACAATGTATTGCAACACACTAAGGAGCTTTGGAACCATTGAGTAATTGTGGGCTTAAATTTCAGCTGGTAAATAATCTCGAATAGGTAATAAATCTAAACGTTGTGATTTATCTTTGGTTTTCTGAGCACTGCGGACAGTTCCATAACTCCTCGCGGGCGACCGGCCCAAGTGATTATTTCATAAGTACTTACACGAGTTACAGATCTACTATGAAGCTGACTCTATTCAAATTAAGTGAGTTTATTATAATAACTGCATATTACCCCATTAAAATCCAAACGTGTTAAGGTAAGCTTTAACACTAGTAGCTGACAGGAAAACTGCTTTAACATTTATTTTATTACCGACCTGCGAATGAGTGTTATGTAAATGGCAATGTTAGACATGTAAGCGATCGCCATTACTTATACAACTGTTATGAAGTGAAAGCCAATCTTGAAACTTAATGACTAATATACCACTAAGTAAATTACGCGAAACGCCACCCAAATAAGAAATAATTTGCTAAAAAAATCATCACAGCTCAAGAAGCATCGTGAAGGAAACGCGTAATCATGAGGTCCAAGCGCGAAAGGCGATATGAATGATAACCTACGCAAAACTGTATTTTTTTAATATCGGAAAGTGTTACTACGTTTTTTTCTAAATCGTCTGTTGTTGAATCGTATCAACGTGTTAAGTTACCAGAGCAAAATGTTTTAGTTGGAAGAGATTTTCGTATTCTGCTGGCGAATACAAAAATCGCCCACTAATGTTGTCGGGAGCCCGCCTGGCGCGCGAGCGTGGCTGCTGGCAGGGAACTTGCTGTGCAGCAAGTCGCCCAGCCACTGGCGCCGGCCGGCGGGCGCGCTCTGCCTGTCGTTATCACTCATGACTCCTTGTCCGTGTACATATAACGAGTACTTAGTGTCGTGTTATCTATATAAATGCTGACATATCGGCATAACATCGCTTATCACAATATATAAAAATATATATTAAAGAAGCTTAAACTACACATCTACACATTTACGATGATGCGCACTCTTATGCATTTGCCACCACACGCGGAATATTAGACATGTACGGCCGTAGATACACATTTTTTTTGTATTTTTTTTATATTTTTGATTTTATTTGTGCGGTAGCATATGCAAGTCTGCAAACGATTCACAGCTTATTCTTAACGATAAAAACATATTGCATCTTTGAAACCGTTGCTTTATTCCACCGGGAAGGAATGTTGACGTTCATATTTTGATGTTTTTCATACGGAAATTGGTAACTGGCTCGGTATTTCTTTGTACTGAACATTCGATATACCTTGTTACGTCACATTTCTTCCCATAAGACTAAAACACTTAATTTTAGGGTCATTTCATTTAGAAAACAATGCGTCTGGCATTTAATTGAATAACTAAATGTTATACTTAGTCATTTCATAAAAATATATAGTTTATCTGATTTATTAAAAATAGCAACATCAAAGACCAACGAAGCTTCGGGTCTGCTCACATTTCATAATACTTTTGCACGGGTATCTAATCATAATATAATCATTAACGAATTTATATGAAACCTGACCTATTAATTAGCGAAAAGCTATTAAGTTCTAAATCCATGTGCACTTATCGATTGTAAGATTAGATAGCTCAAAAAAATAAGCATATACGAGACTTCTACGATATTTTTAGTATTTTTTTTCTGTGATAGAGCTTATAATTAGGCTTTCATAAACACATAGTATAATAAGGGTACAATATTTATGTGACTTTTCCGCTTCACGTGTTAGGTACATCTAGGATGTTTCATTTAAATTCACTATTATGTAACAGCCACCTCTTCAACTCTCATCTGAAAAAGAAACGTTATTTATGTAAGCAAAATCTCCTTGACCTGACAACAAAGCACAAAAAAATGTGGGCTATCTCCATAGTAGGGTATAAGTAGGTTATGATGACAAACAACCCTGGTGGACTAAGGTCCACCGGGTACACCACAGGTAAAAAAATAAATTTCAACATCTTACAACTTCCTTCAGTCTACATACTTAGGCGGCCGATAGTTTTGTCAGGCTGTTGATCAGAATAAACATGCATGGAAGCACATTACACCGATATGGTATAGGCCGATTCCCCATACAAATTCAAAACCGATCCAACTATTGGCCGACAAAAATATCTACCGTCTGCGGAGTATCTTAAAGTTCGGGGAAAGCGCGGTTGCGCGTTGCTCTCTCCTAATTTTTAAATTTTTATGTGCTGGAAGATTGGATTATTTATTTTGAGGTTTAAGCTAATACATATTGGCACCGGCTATAAACCAGCGCTGCACGGAGCTTTCACTGAGCCGAATGTCCTTTCTCCGTTTTTACTGCCACCTTTAAAAAAAAATGCGTCAAAGGTCACTCACCCCTGGCGCCCACGATGATGGACTTCCGCTTGATGTCCTGCGCGGGCTGCGGCCGCACCACGCCCGGCGCGCCGCCCACCAGGTGCCCGCCGCCGGCGCGGATCGGCTTGGCTGCGGACACATACAATTATTACACTCTGCTCCTATACATACAGCCCCTGAAGGGAGAGAACTGCTACGATGGGACAAGGACGAAGAGAAAATAACTTGTAGGGAGTGAAGAAGTGGTGTGGTGCGGTGGAGTGCAACCTGCCTTTGGCAGCCGCAATTCCGCGCACATCTCCCGATTCGGCCAGTATAACCGCAAGGTTGGTATGGCCATGGGTGGTAGTGGGTTGCTCCTATACATCCCGGCAACTTTGTTAAGTGTAGGCGCACACTAGACGATAAGCGACAACGACAGCTCGGCGACGACAGCCTACGGCCGACAATCTCATGTACATATTTTGTTCTAAGCTTCGCACTCTTGGCGTCAGACTCGCGGAGTCGCGAGTTAGTGTGCGCCTACAATAAATCTACACTAACATTAGAAACATTTAATCGCTTGTTTGTTTATATTGAATATTGAATTACTAGGCCGATTTGAAAAATTCCTTCACCACTAGAATCCTACTTTCTAATGAACATAGGCGGTACAAAGTTCTCCGGGTCAGCTAGTATGTTAACAAAATCAATTAAAACAGATTAAACTGTCACTATCCTTAAACTGAGCAGCATTCTTCAGATTCTTTAATTTATTTTTTACAGATATTCAGTACGATTTCGGTTTCATTAATCGCTAATAAAATTTATGTTACCCGTTACTGTACTATAGAGATGGGTTATACTAGGTAAATTTGATACTAGGTGCACCTATTCCTAGTATTTATTAATACTCGATCCAAATACCTATTCCACCTAGTACGTAGTAATTTAGCATACTTGACGCGACTAGTGCAGACTAATCCACGTAATATGACTTTACAATTTTTTTTTTAAAGATACAACCGTAGTATGCAATTTGAAATTGAATAATAATTCCTCCGTTCATACTTCAACAGGCTTAGGACTGTCAACTTAAAAGTTGGCGTATGTAAAAGATATCCTTTCATAAAAATATTTACATATTTTTTCTTATTTACATGAATATGGTTTGACTACGTTTGTGTGCGTTTGCTTCGTCGCGCTCAAATTTGTTTGGTCAGACAGAGACAGAGTGAATCTCTACGTTCGCACATAAGCTTAGCGAGAAATACTAGGTGCGCGTAATACACGACTACGGATTACGCAATAATAACCTCTATTACTTTGATGATAGGGTCGGAAATCGTGTAATTTATAAAATACTAGGTGGATCAAGTATTTAAAAAATTGGAATAGGTGCCGCCTAGTACTGTAAAATACCTAGTGTGTGGATCTGTTCTAGTAAATACGTCTCATCTCTACTGTACTACAAGGAACGTTATTGAACGTTTCCTGCTAATCGTACATTGTACTATGTATTAGCAATCATTACGAAAGCGCTGCTTTCACTGCGCCTACGGTCTGTTTAGTAATGTTGAGTTCCTCCTGTCACGGGCATAATGAACTGATCAAATGAAAATTAATTATTGGTTCGACAAAACTACTATAATTAAATATAACTTAATTTGAAGGAAAATATACATAAGTTAGAAGAGACTTACCGATTTGCGCCTGTGGGCCTCTTCGGGCGAGATTCTTAGCGCGGACTGCCTCCTTGATTCTGTCCACTTCAAATTGGTACCTCTTGCGGTCACGCATTGCTCCCTCTTTAGCTTCCTGCGAATTAAAATTAGATATTATAAAACCGCCTGTCTGCAAAGTAATTGTAACCAGTTACTTAATAAACTTATCTGTCGGCCGTTTGGTGTAGTGGTTCAGAACGGACTACTATGCCGAGAGGTCCCGGGTTCGATTCCCGGCCGGGCAGAAATTGAAATGATGAATTTTAATTTCTGTGACGGGTCTGGGTGTGACTATGTATAATATTTATGTATTTAAAAAAAAAAAGTATATAAGTAGTATATATCCGTTAAGCTAGCACCCATAACACAAGCATTAAGTTGCTTACTTTGGGGCTAGCTGGCGCTGTGTGAAATTGTCCAAAGATTTATTTATTTATTTATAAACATGGTTTCGTCTAGCATAAGTCTAAAAGTCAGTTTTGGATGATAGAAGTAATGGACCAACGCGGCAACGCCTTAACGCACTCTGGGAAATCCGTCAAGAATTGCAAATAAAGTGGGCGTGGTTTGCGAGCTGCTGACACGACATAAAGTCCAGTTAGCAGCACTGAACCGGCGAGAATGCTTTGTTATTATTACAGTTTCGAGCGTTCAAACTTATGGTAGCTCACAAACTCAGTGACCAGCGAGTGACTTGTGAGTGTTGTAATAAAATATAAATAATTTTCTTCCGGCGACTGGGAACACTCATTCATTTTAGTGCTGTACCGATTTTGGCTTGAATAATATACTTTTTTAAGTTATCTATAAGTGCTCCTAGTCGCTGGAAGAAGAATATTTAATTTGTATGGATCCAGCGACTGGGACCGCGGTCCCAGTAGCCGGAAACCTCAGCGCGACTATCGTATCCGGATATAAATTTTCTCCTATACCAGCAAACTTGACCTTCACTGGTTGGGTTTTTATTGGCGGTCAAGCTGTAGATCCTGGCTACACAGGAGTTGCAGTGGTGGGAATAGTCCCGTATACCAGCATAGCTCGCTGCCCGCTAGGTATCTGCAAAGGTCATCTCACCTTGAGCGCGGTCTCGAGCGCCTTGACGCGTTCCATGGTGGCACGCAGTCGCTTCTCGAGCTTGGGCAGCTCGCAGCGCAGGTCGGCGTTGTCGCGCACCAGCTGCTTGTGAACCTTCGTCAGCTGCTCCAGGTTGTTCTCCAGGAACGAGATCTTCTGCTTCTGGGCGAGCGAGCCGCCTTCTTCCTCGGCGCCCTCCTCCGAGTTGGTAGACTTCTTTATTCTGGCCTGGTGGAACGATCGAGATCTTTGTACATTTTGCAAAAGCTAATTCGAGTTAGAAGTGTTAGCAATGAGGTGGCATAATTATTTCTAACGTTTCGTCACTTCCGAAAAATGGGTGATTGGTCCAAGATGAGAGCCCTGAGGAACTCTAGAAATAAAGAAAACAAGCTATGAACGATAACACTTCAGAGTGACTGTTTGAATACATTGCCGAAGATAAGATTATAAATAACGGAACAAATCACAACAAAACAGAAATAAAAAGTATTTAAAAAAACAAACAACACAAGATAATGTCGAAGGCTCTATTTAGATCTAGATTAATCTGTATAAATATTATGTATTTTTATCTTACTTTCATAATCATGAATCACGGTGTAAACAGGATTTAAAGAAGAATGCCTTACCTGCAGGTCTTGTACGAAGAGTTTGCGTAGGTTGTGCAGAGTCTGGAGCTCCTTGGCGACCGTGTCTTCCAAGCCCTTGAGGTCGGCGCGGGCTTGCTCTCGTCGCTCCACGCTTTGACTGTTCAAATTGAATACGCAATAAGTTTTAACCCCACATAAAATCTAACATAAAAGTTACCATCTAAACGTGATTACCTGCAACAGTATCTGAGTTATCATATCTTCCGTACGCACCCATCCATAAATATCGCCGCCCCGTGCTTAGGCCGAAATATTTTAGAATATGCCAACTCTCGGCAGAATGAGTATGAATGGGATACGTGCGGAATAAAATGACAACTCAAAATTAAAAAGCGGAAGGCGTTACAAGACCTCGCACTACAACTACAACGATCTTACATCGACTACTTTTGTGTTCGTTGACATCGCAACGACATATTCGTTTTTGTCGCTTCATTGTCATCGGTTTTAATCTAGAAATTCTAATGTTTAGTTTACTACGGAAATGTTTTTACGGTTATAGATTAAACCATACAAGGACATGACAGTCAATCGTCTAAATAGAGAACTGAGGTTGTTAATACACTTTGGTTTTTACAAGTTCTCTGTTTACACGAGCATTCACCAACAGACGAAGGCGACAATCACTCTTCGGCATTTCGAGTGCACATAGACTAGGGGAAGTGACGTGGACTCTAGGAACAAATATCGATAAATACAACCAAGCAGATAAAAGGCGGGGGTGAGGAACGGAATCGGATTGACGAATCATGCAGTATTAATGTTGATGATGATGGCACAATATATTTAAAATAATAAAATAAATGCTGATAACGGAATGATAATAATAGTATAATGTTCCCTTATTTAAATGCATTGCTTAAAACTTATCTGTAACATTTCATCTAAAAAATAGCCTCTAATTTTAGGATTCCTAATTACAAAATGGTTCCATATCACCTATTTATACTAAGTACTAACTTTTTACTAAATACGTTTGTATTATATTTGTACGATATTGCGGTAACATACGCGATCCCGAGGTATACATGCACCCGCGGACGATGCAAGGTACGAATAAATCGCGTAACAATTCAATAAGGCAAGGACCGAATCAAATCATGAGAAATGGTCGTCCTTTTAAATAGAAAAATATTTTAATAAAAATATTAACCAACTCTCTATACAAACACTCAGTTATTATTTACAGCGTTATTTACACGTCGATAGCATCTTATTGCTCGGTTTAGAAACCCTTCGCATCGTTTAAAGGTATTGCACAATACACTTCAAGGAACTCGATTACGAAAATGTTCTTTAAATAATTGAACCTATTTTGTGACAGTCAAATATTTAGCTAAACAACAACGATAACAAAGGCAGTGTTATTTTTCAACACAACATAAAATGCACCAATGTTTCCACATCTTGAACGCGAATTTAACCTAGTTAATGTGTAAAGTACCGACCAGTTAATTATTACTAATAAACATCCACGAACACCTAGCCATGACTACTTTAATAAAAATATATGGTCTCTACTTTAAATATAAATTTTCCTATAACAATGATAGATAATACTCAAAGTTAAATAATCATCATGCTCATTCACAAATACATATCAACATCAAACATGCTACGTTTTATAAATGCTACGTCATGAAGTAATTTTCAAGCGACAATACATTTAAAAATATGTTTGTATATGTATTTTAAACGCTACGATTACCTCTATTTGACCGTTATTTCGCCGAAACAAAATTGCCTTTGTGCAAGGTATCTATTGCATCAGCTAAACAACGAACAAAACGTCATTAGTAATCGAACTGTTGAATTATTATAGATTGAGACTTGACTAGCATCATAATTAAAGCAAAGCATTCAAAAAAATGCGTTAAAAATAAAAATATGTTCACACAACCGGCTCATAAACATTATCAATATTATTTGCTAGTGGTTATTGCTTTTGATAACTAGTATAATAAGCTAGTCGTTACGATGAAAGCATAAAAAAATCGGTTCATGGATCTCTCTCGAACACGACCACTCGATCACTGTATAATATGTGTAATTCATTCAATTCACTCGACAAAGGCACTGTAAATAATATTGTCTAATCGCAGGTGCAAAGAGATCCACGAGTATCACAGAGATGGGTAAGCTAAACCAAAACGACAATTTGTGGGTAGCGATGGGTGAGGAGGATCATGGTGACGGATATGAGCAGGTGGAGCTGGAGGGGGTGGATGTTGCAGGTGTGGCGCGGGGGGGAGGGCTTGGGGAGTGCCGAGAGCGACTTCTCCTCTTTGGCCGAGGGCCGGTCGAGGCTCATCCCGTAGAAGCCTAGCCTCTGTTTTTTCGGGGACAGGATGTAGTCTTTAAAGTCGCCTTCGTCTTTCCACAGCGTTTGCTGGTTGGCGACCTCCTTCTCGGCCTTGTCGAGGTGGCGGCGCGGCCGCGACACTAACATGAGCTCCTTGAGCTTGGCGGATTTGTCGGCCTCCTCGCGCTTCAGCTTCTCGTAGTCGTCCTGCAGCTGCTGGCGCGCCAGGGTCAGTTCTTGGTAGGTGCTGCAACAAATTAAAACGGTCAGAATGTGGTCACAAGTTTGTGTACAAGTTATTTTTACAATTATTTTTGCAAAATAATACTATCGAAGTGGGTTGCGAACGTTTGAGGGGGTGTGCATCCTGGAACTCCTAAACCTAACCCTGACCTGGTAAAATAGCACTCCTAGTGCTTTCAGAACACTCAAAAAAGTCCAGCTATGTAGTGATTTCTGGAGCGTCTGCAGTTATGGCTTGGTAGGGAAAATGTCATCGTGCAGTGCAACTAGCTTCTCTAACAGCCAGTCACTCACTTCAAGAGCTACGGCTAAGCTGGGGAGCAGGAAACCAAATGCCGAGGGTACTGACTCCTTAAGCAGATTTTCCGAATGGGTAAAAATAGCTGAAAAATAGCGGACCGACCAAGTGAAACAGCAGTGGGAGACGGCGTATGTGACTGCACCAGAGAGATCATGCGGAGAGTTGTAGCCGCCTCTACAACCGATGTGAACAACGCCTCAACGTGACCACGACCGCTCCGCCAAGAGCGTAACGAATAAGAAGAAAAATAGCTGCATAGAGCAGGACCCGTGGTTGTGGAAATCCTTGGGGAAGGTCTTTATGCAGCAGTGGACGGCTTTTGCTGGAAACGTGCAAGAGATGGCCGAAGGTACTCACTCCTCGAGTAGCCACGGCTAAGCTGTCTGAGTAGGAAAAGGTGACATTGACATATTATGACCTGACAGAGCATACAAATCTGAAGTCTCGCTGACTTATGACGTCAACATAAATACCCTCTCGTGCCGCTCTATGCCTCAGGTATTAAGTTATGCGCTAGACCTACAACTCCTCGAGCAGATACGGCATTATGTCTGACCTTTATGCGCAAATTGTCAAATTCGCAAATTGTCAAGCGGTCGCAATCTGCCAAATTCGCAAATTGTCAAATTCACAAAATGTCAAGTTTTAAAAATGTCTTTAAATTACGGTTTTATGGTTTCATATTAAAAAAAAAACCTTAACATTTTAATGATTAAAAGTTCTGCACAATTAATTACTTGACTTTTATTATTAAGCCTTAACAACTGGACATTTTTAGAACTTGACATTTTGCGCATTTGTCAATTTGCGAATTTGGCAGATTGCTACCGCTTGTCAATTTGCGAATTTGACAATAGACAGTTTGACACCTCAAAACCACAACTTTTTTAAAAAGACCCTTAATTCTGGTCTTAAAAACTTAATTAATTTTAAATTACCTATAAATTACGATTTTTGTTCGCATTGTAATTGAAAAAAGTAGTATCATTGAGTTGAAAAAATAGTGACGTCACTTGCTTGTAGTGCCATACAAAATCTATGGGAGAGTTTCGTTTTGACAGTTTAAAAAAGTACGTCAATTGATTGGTGGTGTCAACATGTCTATTTGCGCATAAAGGGTGTCTGAAACGGACAAGAGCCCGGCGGTACTCACTCCTTGAGCTCCTGGTGCTGGCGCTGGTTGGCGGCGAGCTCGTCGCGCAGCGCGGCCAGCTGCGTGGCGTGCGCCGAGCGGAGCTGCTCCAGCTGCGCCTCGAGCGCGCCGCGCAGCTGCGAGTCGGCGCGCTGTTCCGCCGCCGCGAGTTGCACGCGCTCCGCGGCCTACACAAATACAACCATTTATAGTGACGACGTAATGCCGGGTACACGGACTCGGAGGCGAATTGTAAAGGAAACAGTGGCGGCATTGATACTGGGACTTGCCTGGCCGCTCAACACAAAAAAAGGCGAGTACTGGTGATTTACATTAAGCCAGCAAATTGTTCTGCCGTCGCGATTTGCACGCGCTCCGCGACCTTAAGAAATGCAACAATCAGGCCCTTTTCACATGTCCCGGTTGCCGGCTAACCGGCGCCGGGTACAAGGTGTCAAATGAGCTTTCACATGCCCCGGTTGAAGGCGACAGTATCGGCTAGAGAGCCGACAAGAGTACAGTCTAGTTCATTTCATACTTTCAAAGATGGACCGTGAACAAATAATTGCAATGTGGCTTTTATATCGAAGACGAAAATATCTGTGCCGGAAAGAAATATCAAGAAATTATTGGGTTCATCCAATTAATATTAAAAGAGAAGCATTTGGTGCATTCTATACATTATTCCCAGATCTACAAGCACAACATGAAAACAGATTTTTCAAGTACTTCAGAATGTCTATAACTAGGTACTTTTGACGAATTACATGACCGTTGGAAGAACTCTTTGCAACGTCAGGATACAAAAATGAGAAACTGCAACTCGAGCGTGCGACAGAACAACGCACGCGCGTGCATAGTTCACAGACTGTACCTGGGCGACTAACCGGCCGGCGGGTCTCAAAGCTAGTTGCGTGACACCACTGTCAGTTCGGCCGCCGGCTAACCGATGCCCGGCGACCGGACGCACAGTGGTGGATCCGGCGCGCACCCGGCGACTGCCTGCCGGATTAATCACGCCGGTACATGTGAAAGCTACCTACCATGCCCATACACTTCACCACCTGGTACCCGGCGCCGGTAATCCGGCAACTGGGACATGTGAAAAGGGCCTCATTGTAGTGACGACCTAAAGCTGGGTACTGGTGGTGATTTAAAAGCCACGTACTTGCAGACGCGCGTACTCCTCACACAGCGCGTCGACCGCCTCCTCGAGCTGGCGCTTTTTGTTTATTATTACATTAGATGTATGTTGCAGTGTTGTTGCAAACATATGAGGACTTTTATTTGTTCTGTTGTAAAGGTTATTCTTGCTGAACTTTGAGCCTTAAGACTATGTGAATAAAAGCCACATTGACGTACCTGCAGACGCGCGCACTCCTCGCGCAGCGCGTCGGCCGCCTCCTCGAGCTGGCGCTTCTTGTTCTCGGCCTCGCGCATGGACTCGGCCAGCGACGCGCAGCGCGCCTCGTGCTGCGAGATCAGCAGCCGGCACTCGCCCAGCGAGCGCTCGTACTCTTCGATCTGATAGAGGAATACGTGAATATATTAATTTTGATGTAAAATCTTTCTAGAATACATTACTTTCTTTTGCTTATATGTCAACGTGTAATTGTAAACTCCGTCAATTTATAACGCGTGCGATTGTAAACTACCAGTGGGTTAGGTTAGATTGTAATCAGACGGAATCCATAATTTGATGGTGACATAAATAACGTAGAAAAAAGCAGGATATTTAAATTGTGTAACCCATTAAACTCATTTCGACATCATAGTAGGTAACTTATAGTTATAAAGAAGAATGAAGTCTAACGACGAAACATTTCAGAATAGAAATTATTTCCTTTTCACCTTTAAAAAAATATTACATATTATTTGACCAAGGGCAAATTACTGCCTTATACAACACATGTTGTTAAAATCTAATAATAACCCACCGAATTTAACTTTAAAATTAATGTGGGGAACATCACTTCATCCCAGTGTGCATTTGTAGAAGGATAATAATTATAATTAATCATGCCTAACCACCATCATAATTTTATGTTAAATTACAAGACACACTGTCAGGAATAAACACGATTCGACCGTATTTAGAGCATGAATCATCCGACAAGCTACTCTACTTCGCACCTAATTGCAATTCGCCATAATACCTACATGTTTTTATCTTTCCGTTGTACAATTCATACATGCCTTAGACGAAATTGCAGCTATTGTTAGTTGCGACCTTTGATTCAAGGTTACATCCGAATTTCAACCTGTTCATACAAATTGTGCCGACATGTGGATATCGTGTTTTATATTATTAAACTAGTCTACTATATAAATGTTACTATTTTTTGTTAGGTTTACGTATTTAATTTCAACTTTCCTAAAATGTAAAATGGTATGCTTCTAAAAATTCATTATATTATTTATGATATTATACTTTTAACTACAATAAAATAGAGACTGATATTATTTATTTTAAATGTAAATAATGAAAGTGTTCACAACTATCAAACCAATTATACACAGATAGAGCAGATGATTGATTTACTAGACATAAACATACTATCAATATGTTTATTAGAATGAGGTTTGAAGTGGTTGAAATATGAAGAAACAAATATGTCTTACCTTCTGGTTGGCATCAATATTGGCAGACTCCAGAGAATGGCAGCGTTGCACGATGTTCTTGACTTCGCTCTTCATTTTGCTGATGTGCAGACGAGCGACGGTGAACTCTTCCTCCAACTTTCCAACTGTGTCTACGTTCAGTTTGAAGTCCAGCTCGGAGCCTCCGACGGCGGCGCCGATCTCGGCCAGGTCTCGCAGGAGATTCGTGAGTAGTTCCGCAATGCGCTTGCGCTGGTGAGCTGATAGGTCGCGCAGTTGTTGCAGCTCGGAAGTCGCACTTGTCAATGCGCTCTAGGAATGACATTATACTGATTAGTGTGGAGATTTTCACAAGCAAGAAAATGCCAGTGATCATGTGTATATTGCAAGTTATGATATTTATTATTAATAGCTGAAATGTGATTTATAAAACAAAGTAACATCAATCATAAGACTACTCGTTATTAAGCTTCACGACTAGTCGAGACTTTAAATTTTGGAGTCATAAAACTTAACACTATTTCAGTAGCAGTCTGTTAATTAATCCCAAACTAATTCGCCGTTATTTAAAAGGCTTAAAAGATTAAAAGGCTCGCGCTTAGACACCTTGAGTGTCGCCTAAAAACTTGACTAAAATCGTTTCGCCCAAACATAGGATTATATGATAGGATTTATAACCAGATTTACACTTTAACTTAAAACAGCTTTACGGCGACTAAAGATCGAGTTTTTCAAAACAAATTCAGCCTTTATGATATATTTTCAGATATAAGTCTATGATTTATATTCACTTCACATAATTCATGAAAATATTGTAATTTTTTTTTTTTAGTTTATTTTTGAACAACAAACAATTACACTTACAAATTAAGTATAAAACATAGACTTAGAACACATATTAAGGTAAAAGCATAATCAGCCCCGTTGTCCACAGATAGAGTAACAAAATATGTGGAAAAGATATCAACTAAAATTTGTGTACTTAGTGCACAAATTATAATAGCCTAAATGGCACTCTGGTGTAATATAAAAAGTTTCATCAAAATCCGTTCGGCAGCTTTCCATTCCGTTTGGTGTTTACCATTTAACAAAACATTAGATTTTTTAAATTAAGTCTAGATCTAGAAAAACAAACATCGACCATAATAACTAATGTGTGCGTTTAGTTAGAGTAAGGTTTTACTATCGTTACCTGTTTGGTCTGCAACTCCTCGGAGAGCTGGTCGCACTCGCGGCTCTTGCTGTCCACCTCCTGCGACTTCTGGTCGTAGTTGACGGCCAGCTCCTCCAGCGCTTGGAGCACCTCCTTCACCTCCTCCTTGGCGGCCTCGTTCTCCTGCTGGATGCGGTTCATGTCGCCCTGCAGCGCCTCGTAGTCCCGCCTATTTATTTTATTTTATTTTTCTTTATTCAGAAAACCACAGCTCTTTCTTTATAATAATAATACAAACAGGTATTTTTGTTCTTACAGCGAATAATGGATTCTATATATTACTAGCTGACCCGGCGAACTTTGTTCCGCCTTAATGGCAATAAATAAGCTGACTTTTTTTATTTCGAACGGGATAAAAAGTATCCTATGTCCTTCTCCTGGCTCTAAACTACCTCCCTGACAATTTTCAGCTAAATCGGTTCAGCCGTTCTTGAGTTATAATTGGAGTAACTAACACGACTTTCTTTTATATAATAGATAGAATACAAACAGGTATTTTTGTTCTTACAGCCAATAATGGATTCTATATATTATTACAATCTCGTAAAAAACAGTCAAAGGGGCAAAAAAAAAGAAACATAGGCTTGCATGCAGGTTGTGTGTGTTTGTGTGTGTGTGTGTGTGTGTGTGTGTGTGTGTGTGGATGGAGACAGAAAGAAAGATACATTTATTACAATGGATATCACACAAAGACAAATTACATACAGGGTGATTTTTCAATCAGTGTCCAAATTCTTAGGAGCGACTCAGTACCTCTAGTAGGAAAAACTTTCGAGTTCGTTTCGTTGCGTATTCAAAGTGTCATCGAAAAATTTTGTATGAAAAATTAAACAGCGCCCCCTAGGGCGGCTATAATATAGGGGGCGCTGTTTAATTTTTCATACAAAATTTTTCGATGACACTTTGAATACGCAACGAAACGAACTCGAAAGTTTTTCCTACTAGAGGTACAGAATTAGTAACTTAATCGATTCACGTAAAGGAAACAATTTTTTTTTTCATGTTTATTTATCAGCGGCGTGCGGTTTCTAAATTTGCTTCGTTCATAGAAAAATACGTACACACAATTAACTGCAAAGTTTAATAAACATAATGGTGAACTAAAATAAGCCATAACCTTTAAAACTTAAGATATGAACACCCGCAAATTATATTTTGAAAATCTAATTCGCGGATGTAAAATTCCACGATTAAAAATAATTAAGATAAAGTTGTATTGTTAAACTATTCCAAAGAGCTTATTAAAAAAAATTGATGGTGATTGCAAAGTCGCCCTGTATAGACATAACAGTGGCACATAATAATGATAGAAAAACAATAACAAAAGTAAACTAAGCAGTGCCACCTACTCACAAACAGGATGCCCAATGCGACAGGATCACTCAGCATATGCAGTTACAATACAACACTTCGAACTCTTCGTATTTTCAATTCGGTATGGGTTCCAAGATAGTCAGCTGTCCTTTATGTATATTTCTACAGTCCGCTGGTCAGCGGTCGCATTATAATTAAATTCGTCGCGAGTTTCACGAATATCTTACGCGATTATTGAACTATCTAAAACCTCACCAATATTATCAATGGGGTGAAGGGAGTAAAAAAAATAATATTACGAATGACGTCTTTATGGTTTCGCAAGGCAAGGGGTTCTCACTCAACCTATTGTTGACTACGTACCCCTTTTTAAATAATGGTCCAGTGGGAAGATTTTGAAATTCAAATAAAATTAATATTTTGATCTTATGCCCTTCCTAGAGTCAAATGAGATTTATGGTGTAATGCAGATTAATAAAAATAAAAACAGCCCTAATTGCCCTTATGTTTATAAATATCTCCTAAAAATGTTATTGTTATGTTAACGAGACGGATATCGAAACCATTTGGCTAGTAACAACGCGTAACGTAAACCAGAGGCGACTTAGGGACTACACATCAAACAGAGAACGGGTAGCAGCGCTCTCTGACAAACATCAATCTTTTAAACTGCGATCTCCAACCCGCCTGCCAAGCGTGGGGATTATGGCAAAACCCTCCACTATAGTGGAGGAGGCTCATAGTCCAGTAGTGGACTGTAAAGGGCTGTTGATGATGAACGTAAACCAGTGGACGAATTCGGAAATCCAAAACAAACATAAGCAAGTGTTTATTATTATATTGATAATTATCAGTATTGTTACGTTATTATGATTCCTTCAGAGGTTATGAGTTATGTTTACATTTCTTGAAATTGCTTAATTTAAAAGGAAAAATAAAATACAAACTTTCACTCATTTCAACAGAGCACCAGTACAATTATTCCATAAATGAACTAATATTATTACACTCTGTGAAAGTACATAACTTCAATCAACGATGTTATTAATTTAATCATCATTCCAAAATATGCATAGAAATCATGTAACAAGGAAAATATGTTTGTAGCAAATGCTCTGCATGCACGCATGTTGGCAATAAGATATTATATTACAATAAATTTAATGAAAACTAATAAAGTACCAATGTTGTGTTGTGTGTGTGATGAACATGAAATAATTAATTGAAGTTTTTTGTAGTAATAAAATAAGTATGATTCAGAAGAAATTATTAACGTCTGTGATTAATTGTATTTTTAATAGTGGATTATAAAGTAAATCTAAATATGAAATATAAAGTAATACCAGCCGAAAGTATGTTAGCTAATTTTCTTTGACTGAATTGCAGGGCGCACTGTGACGTCAGTTATCTGAATCTAATTTATTTCATGTGCGTGCGGCGCGGACTGAAAACCTTATTTTAGAACGATTAATAGCTATTTTTGTTGTTTACGATAAACGAAGTGAAATTTTAAGAAGTTCAATGTGTTTCAAAAACACACTATATTTAATTCCTCAGATGTATGATGTATAATTTATTATATCATGTAAAAGTTATTCGTTCTTTCGTTTCAGCCGAAAGACGTCCACTGCTGGACAAAGTTATTAAGTAACTATAAAACAAGTTGTTTACATGGAAATCGCTAATTAAAATTCTTGACTAACATAAACATCTATGCAGTAGGGACTGTTAGATTATGTTGAGTCAAAACAAGTTTTTTTAAAAACACCTTTGTTAAATCACCAGCAGTTCAACTGCAGTATCAGACGATACATTAATGGCAAAATAATATTACGAATCATAGATAAATTGATATTGCAGACTAGAAAAACTTCTCCAATATTTTCTGTAAACAAATCAAGACCTGCAATAAAACAAGATTACATGTCTAATGTCTATCTTACCTGGTGCAGGCGATGAGCTCCTCCTGCTCCATCATCTGCTCCTTGAGCTTCTCGATGAGCTGCGAGTGCTGATTGATCTCCTCGTCCTTGTCGTCCAGCTGTTGGTACAGCGCTTCCAGCTTGCCTTGCATCGCCGCGTCCTCCACAGCGCTCGACACCGCCACCGGTACCGGCTGGAGAATACACCAAGTTATTGTCTATGCACGGACTACAGATCACAGAAACTAAAGGGAGATGTGACAAGGGGGCGGGGCCGGTGTCGCAGCAATATGCCCAAAAACAGAACATATTGCTCGCGACAGCAATGATGACAGCAGCGACTGCGACGTCATAATGTAAACAGTTTACATTGCTTGCGTAGTACTAAAGATTATTCGAACGTTGAGTACTGATACTGCAGTGGATAATGAGCACATGTTATTTTGATTACTTTGTGTGTGTGAATTTCTAATGCGACACTGAGTTTCGAACTCAGCGCATTAGTTAGCATCTCTCTATGTCTCTATGGCACGGACATTGAACCATAAAATACAGAGAACTGGAGACAAGCTACACAGTAACAGCCCGCGAGAAATGCACGCATAAACATCATTCACGAAATACCAGATATGGTTGAATCAGTTCGAGCGCGATTGCCGCCCGATGCGAACACGGTACGTCACACGATATATTTTGCAACTAATGGAACAACAAAATATAACTTATTATGACGAATGTTCGGATGCTTCTATTTTATTTTAGTCATAACATGAGTATATTGTTAACCACTTCTTAAAAAAATATACCATGTAAGATCTAGTTAAGCCAAGTACTTACCGGCACTGGGGGCTTCTCTTCAATGAATGATGTGACTGGAGTGACAGCTTCAATTTCTTGCAAGTTGACTTGTTCCTCTGGTCGCACCGTTTCGCCCGACCGCCAGCGACTAAGTTCAGCCTCCAGTTTCTCAACCTAAATCACGAATTCATAAGATTATGTGAAACTTGAAAAGGCAATGCTGTTCACAAAGATAATTAAGAGCGATTATTTACCTTTCCTTTGAGCCTAGCCACTTTCTCCTTTTCTCTCTCATAACGCCTTTTCCATTCTTCTGCAGTGAGTTCCTCATTGACACACACAACATTCTTGACAGTTTTAGCCCTAAAGAAAAAGAAATACAAACATTTTAAAAACATTCTTATTGCATGTACGCTGGGACTGTAATTAAATAGGGTTGATATTCACCTTTTACCAAAGTCCAGAGTACTTTTAGTTTCGCTTTCGTTGAATGAGGCAGGAGAGCAGCAAATAACAATGGTTGTTCTTGCGTTACCACCCAATGACTCTTGTAAAATACGTGTCAGTTTCGAGTCTCTGTATGGGATGTGCGATTTGTTACCGTCTGCTAACGCCGAAATGACATTACCCAAGGCCGAAAGTGATTTGTTGATGTTTTTCGCTTCATCAAGCACAGTACCTTCAGCACCAGTTTTAGATACCTGTCAATGTTTTTCAATTAGCAGGTGGATCAAATAATTAACAACAGATTTTAAAAAAGTTAAACATTTTTAGAAATCATACCTTTTCAGAACCAGCCAAGTCCACAAGATATAACTTTCCAGAGAGTTTCTTTTGATTTTCTAAGTTTTCTTGCTTCACATTTATGAGGAAAACTGAATGAGATCTTGATGAATGTTCATTCATGTCTAGGAAATTAAAACATTTAAATTAACGTGATATAATTTCAATATTATTAGCAAATAAAATGCACAAACTTTTACTTACTTGTAACAGCAATGTGCCGATTTGATTTTCCTTCCTCAATAACTTCAAACACCTCTTCTGGACTTGACACAAACCTTTCAGTAGCACCTTTTACGAATGGGACTCTGTTTTTATCTTCATGAACACTGAGGTTCACCTTTGATACTAAAAATAATAAAATAAAACTTTTAAATTTTAAAGAAGTAACAAATGACTCAGTAAAAATCATTAAATTATGAAAAATATTTATATTACCATCCAACAAGTCCCTGATTTTATCCATGTATATTTCAAAATATGAAACCTTAATGTGAAACTCAAGGTTTTCTTCCATTGCATAGATATGATTGAAAATATCATTGACTATTCGTGGTATGATACCCTGTTTCCCTGGATCTCCTAAAATTGTTTAAATGGGTTAATATGTGCTATTCAAAAATTATAACTAAATAATTAAAATGAAGTAAATACATGAACACCAACCTATGACACCTTCCATTGTATGTGTTTTACCGGAACTAGTCTGACCATAGGCAAATATAGTGCCGTTGTAACCTGCCAGTACATCTGACACAATGCTTTTGGCGGCTTCATTGTATACTTTCTCTTGGGTTGCGTTTGGTTTGAATACTTTGTCAAATAAGTATACTTTACCCTAAAAATACAAGACTAAATAATTTAATTTGGTTATCAGGGGAAAATTAAATCAATTGGAAATCAATAGGTACTTCCACAAAGTACTTGTTATTCATTTTAAAACATGCCAGTTCTAGATTTGATGATAAAGTATGTCTCTCAAGCTTGATTTTTTACACATAAAAGTGTACACATAGGTCAATGCAATTAGTATCCATGTATTAAGGATCATTGTTAATGTTGTTCACATGATATACCAATCAGTCTTATACACAGGTAATACATACTTCAAACATACAAGAAAATAACAATTTCAGTATTCCAGAATTTGTTCATTATTATGTATTTTACAACATTTAATATTTTTTTCCATCATAGATAAATGTAAGTGAACACACTTATAATAATAATATTGTATAATATTATTAGTCACTCACTCACTCACTAGTATTAGTGAGAGGGGATATGCATTAAAACTATGCCAGTTACAAAATTATGGTCACTGCAATAGTTATTATTGACCAATAACTTCAATCACTGGCAATTATTGCAGGCATTAATACAATTCAATGATTCTAACCAAAGAAATGTAATGAAACACTAGATTTAATTCTAATATTTTAAATGTAGGTAGGATACTACATTAAATAAAATTGAATAATGAAATCAATATTTTTGCCAAAAAAAATTAAGACATCTCTATTTTTTTAATATTTAAAAGTTTTAGAAGACAATGTAAACATAAATCTGATGCATTTATCCAACTAGAAATAATCAAGGGATACTTGGGTCAAGGTCGAGAAGTATTTGTATTGATTTTCGACAATACAAAGACTTACGAAGTATGAATGCTGAAAAATTTGGTCAGAATCTCCAATTTTACACGATTATAATCATAATCAACGAAGCGGAATAGAAAAGAAAGGCCATTTCGTAGCAGGTGAACAAGTCGTAATGTATTAGTCATCATGATCTAATTTAGGCTGATGATTCGGGAATGCAGGCAGAGTAAATGACAACTTACCCCTATCGAAATGCAATTGTCATCAGGTCCTGAAGGAAATTTCACAATAAATTTGGAACCAGCTTTTTCTTCAGAGTCATTGAGTGGCCGAAATCGGCATACGACTCGAATGCTGTCTTCTGCAGCAATCTCACGATCAGCTGCCATTTTAAATAACAAAAATACCTTACACTAAACACCGTATATGCAGTTAAAAAATAAAACGTTCTTGGAACATAAAACCGTGCATGAAGAACTACAAAGATAAAATTTATGTCACTGAAAAATCTTCATGACAGCAATATCAAAATGTCGGCCATATTCTTCACAGAAGAAAGGTCTGAAGAGATTTTCTATTGGTCGGAAAGACAAGACTTTAGCCAACTTAACAAAAAGAAATCGATTGAATGCCAACGTGACAATTCAAACTTTAGTTTAAAAACTAAAATGTAATCCATTATCATTTGTCTACAAAGCTAAATTAACACTTAAAAATAATTTTTGAGCTGTAAAATTAATAAAATGGCTAAAAGAGGTAGACACAAATCTTCCTCAGATTTTACTGAACCCCATTTTAGAGATATTAAATTTTTAGTTAGAAGACAACCAGCTGCACTGCACCTCTAAGTTTCTGAACGTAACATTTAAACGTCAAAACCAAAAACTATCATGGTTCGCTAGCCAATAGTAACATGGCATATTTTGAATTGACGAATAAAAAAAAACTTTTATTGGTCTAGTGACCAATAAATGATCGACGAAGACACCAAGACAGAGAGATCATGTATGACAGAGAGAGAAATAGGGATTTATTTATTTAGCAGCAGATGAGTAATCTTTCCTACATTTTAGTTATTAAATTTATTTGATTGAACTTAAAATGTATATTTAGTGTTTTTATTTCATTAATCGGTAAGTACACAATTTTACTGACATAATACATACTAGTTTCTTTGTAGATGTATAGCTGTATAGTAATAATGGCAAGGCCCTCACACTTGCTTGCCCCATGATCTCACGACCTGATTTTAGTGTAATTGGCTAAAACAATATTTGATTCAGTCATTAAATTTATAACTCAAAGAATATTACAAGTGGTATTTGTTTCTGAAGCCTTTGGTTAAGTTAGGTTACATTTCCTCTATATCAGATGGAACTTTAATACACAATGGGAATTGTAACATTAAATGTACTAGGTATCCCTGTTTTAAATGGTTTGAAGGTTTCTTAAGAGCTTGCTACAAATTTCAACATAGTATAAAATAACACAGGCACTTTCATCATACTAAATAATAAATAAACAATTAACCTTTATCATTTTACACTGACCCATCTAGTCTCTATCTCAATACTACTCAATAGTTTTATTGCTTCATAATGTTTACAAAAGGTATTATTGGTAAGGTAAGATACAATTATATCTATAGAAACCTTGTAATACTAATAGTACTCCTAGTGGTACAACGGTCAGGGAAACATGAAAATAGGTAGACTATGTTATGTGTATGTGTGTATGTACCTACATTACTAAATAGTATGTTGGCCAATACAAACTGATTCAAAATTCAAACTGATTAATTAATTATTAACATTAAAATATTGACAAATGTTTGTGATGTTTGGGGATTGAACCCATGTTGTTTCAGCCAAATGACGTCCACTGCTGGACAAAGGCCTCCCCCAAGGTTTTCCACATTGAACGGTCCTGCGCTGCCCGCATCCAGGCTCTTCCCGCGACCTTTACCAGATCGTCGGTCCACCTAGTAGGAGGCCTGCCCACGCTACGTTTTCCAGCCCGTGGTCGCCACTCGAGAACTTTCCTGCCCCAACGGCCATCGTCTCTACGAGCTATGTGCCCCGCCCACTGCCACTTGATTTTAGCAATTCTGCGAGCTATGTCGGTTACTTTGGTTCTCCTACGGATCTCCTCATTTCTGATTCGATCACGCAGGGAAACTCCGAGCATAGCCCGCTCCATCGCCCTTTGGGTGACCTTGAGCCTTCTTATGAGGCCCATAGTAAGCGACCACGTTTCGGATCCATATGTCAACACTGGCAACACACACTGCTCGAAGACTTTCGTCTTGAGACACTGCGGTATTTCGGACATGAGTATATGGCGAAGCTTCCCGAACGCTGCCCATCCGAGTTGGATTCGACGATTGACCTCTTTCTCGAAGTTGGACCTACCTAACTGGACTGTTTGTCCCAGGTATACATAATTGTCGACAACTTCGAGTGTAGAGTCTCCAACCTTCAGAGGAGTGGGTGCAACACGGACATTAGACATGATTTTTGTCTTGTCCATGTTCATTCTGAGGCCCACTTGTTGAGAGGCTCTACTGAGGCCATCGAGCATTGTGCCTAGATCCTCCAAGGTCTCAGCCATGACTACGATATCGTCCGCGAATCGAAGGTGGGTGATGTACTCGCCGTTGATATTTATGCCAAATCCGTTCCAGTCCAGAAGCTTGAAGACATCTTCCAGGGCGGTGGTAAACAGTTTTGGAGATATGACGTCTCCCTGTCTTACCCCTCGCTGCAACTGGATAGGTTTCGAATCCCGATCCTGGAGGCGGACCGACATTGTGGCGTTTTTGTACAAATCCCTCAACACTTCGATATATCGATAGTCAATTTGGCACCTTTGGAGAGACTGTAGCACTGCCCAGGTCTCGACCGAATCGAAGGCTTTCTCATAATCCACAAACGCCAGGCAAAGTGGTTGATTATACTCCTCGGTCTTCTGTATAATCTGCCTTAGCGTATGTATGTGGTCTATGGTACTAAAGCCTTTTCGGAAACCGGCTTGTTCGGGAGGCTGGAAGTCGTCGAGCCTGCGAGCGAGACGATTCGTAATGACTCTTGAAAACAGCTTGTAGACATGGCTCAGAAGTGAGATGGGTCTATAATTCTTCAATAAGGTTTTGTCACCTTTTTTGAAGAAGAGTACCACCACACTTCTGTGCCATGTCGTAGGCGTTTTCCCTTCGAGGATGACGGAATTGAACAGCTTCTGAAGAGCCCTCAGTACCGGCGTTCCGCCTGCCTTCAAAAGCTCAGCCGTGATTCCATCATCACCCGGTGCCTTGTTGTTCTTCAGCTGTTTGAGAGCCATTCTAATCTCGTACAGACTGACGTCCGGGATATCTTCGGTATAGTGTCGGGTCAGTCTAGCTCTTGGGTCTTCGGCTAGATTTGTGACAGGTGCACGTACACTCGTGTATAATTGTCCGTAGAACTTCTCGACCTCTTCCAATATCTCCGGCCCCGACGAAATGGCTCTGCCATCCTCTGTCTTCAGCTTGGTCAGTTGACTTTGGCCAACAGACAGATCTCTTGCGAACACTTTAGAGCCCTTGTTTCGCTCAATCGCCTCTTTAATACGGTCTGTATTAAATTGGCGTAGGTCGCGAGTCAAAGACTTGGAGATCTGTCTGTTAAGGCGCCGATACTGAGCAGCATCTTCAGAGGACTGCAGAACCAAGTTCCGTCTCTCTTCCATGAGTTGATTGGTGAGGTCAGAGATCTTTTTGGTTCCTTTTGAACGACGGGTTTTAAAGAACTTAGACCCAGTCGTTTGGACAATTTCCACGAACCTGTCATTGTATTTGTCCACATTTTCGCAGTCTCCTAGGCATTCGAAACGATTTTGCAACTCGAGCTGAAAGCTTTCGGGGTTTTGAACCCATAATTTCTTGCATGTCCAAAACGCTAAACACTCATCATCATCATCATCATCATCATCATCATCATTCCACCTCTGTTCATAGTTCTTATATTTTAGTGGTAATAAATCTAATACAAGCCTAATTTTTCTATCAACATTATGGATTTATTTATTTATACTTCAATGCCAAAATATTAACATTAGGCGAACTTAATGCCATAAGGCATTCCCATATTATACTGTTGGTGTTATTACAAAAAACTTAAACAGATGATAAACATGTGTTTAAAATGACATTTTTATACTTAAAATATTAACTTAAAGAAGTGTTCAATGCCCATTTAACTTTTTGTAATAATGCCACTATCAGGTTTTAAATTAATTGCCTATTTGATTTAAAAATAATTTTATTGTTTGTTGTATTATTCAATGATGTTAGAATGGTTCATGCATCTTTATCAGTCATATTAAATAAAAGCATTTTTAATTGGACCTTTTTTATTATTAGGTACCCTAGTTTCTTACTTTAGAATTTGTAAAGGCTTAAAATGAAAATCAATTTAAATACATAGTTCTAAAATGAATTTACAATAAAATGCTCATCACTAATAACTCTATACCTCAATTTTGATATCAGCCATCAATGAATGTCCTCATCCCCAAATACTGCCCTTTATGATTTTACATAGATATCTAGGCTCTCCTAGTCTCCTTTATTAGTTGTAAAAAAAGTAAAAACCTTATTGATAGTTTCTCTAAAGAGTTGTATAAATATACCAAAATGTCTCTACTTTTTGCCTGGAGCCCTAGAATATTTTTATGACTCATGGTCTCCAAAAATCTCTAAAATACTCTCAGTTTATTTATTCGTTCGTTTTAACTTTATTTTCGATTTAATAACTGATAGCGTTATAACGGTTTATCAGGCGATAGGTGACGAGCTTTTGGGCTTTAATTAGCACTTATCTCCCCTGGCCATTCCCGCTAATATAGTCTCTTCTCTCGTAAAATTTAAGCTTACGTATGAGCCAGTCGCCATTGCAAAACGTTTGCAATTTAAATTATTTTAAAACATTTTCATTGCGCTTCCATCGGCATCGCGTCATCCTAATTCATTCGGCCATTGATAAAGTTAACTTTACTTGATGTTTTTTTTTTTTTTCAAATCAAATCACTTTATTTACAAGACAACTGTTTTGTGACGAAAATACACTTTATGCAATAAAGGGCAAGCCGACGTGAAGTAGGGGCGGGCGTTGACCCTTCCAGTGCACCCCTCAACCGTTATAGTCGCCTTATGGAAACTGGCTGAAGTTATACGGAAACGGAGGTACAGATATAAACAAAAGTCATTACCACTTTGATCCCTACCGTCATACACGTAAAGACATTTTTGCTATTTTGATCGTTGCACTGCCTGTACGTTTTTACCGGTAGATACACGTAGACTGTCTGGTTATCCATTATGTAGATTGCATGCCTGAAAGGGTAGTAGGCGGCTCGTTTTCTTGGAATACTTAACCGTACTGTTAAAATGTTATGGTGTTCCATTTACAAGTAAATGTATTCTCGTCTCATCTCTTGCATTACGCTACTATCGCTTACCATGCATATTATTCCGACTACGTAATATTACGTAGCCGGAGGAACATTAGGATCGGTTTGAAGCAATAAATGGTAGGTATACTGATATTGCTCAAATGCCCACTATTACACAATAGTAGGCTGTAGACTGTAGCTCTACAGTGTACAAGTCACTCTAGTAGAAGTACAACCCAGGACAGACTGTCCTGGCGCCTCAGATCGAGGAAAGCAGACCCCAAATATTGGGAAAAAGGGCTAGCTACCAGGCCGATCAAAAATGGTTTACGATAAAGCATTATGGCATAGATATGAATAGTAACTGAGTAATTTACATAATGCTATGGTCATCGCCGCGCTGTACCACCTCAGGTATGCTGACGTGAGCGCTTGATTCATACTATTACTTGTATGCTAATGACGCAATGTGTACGACCTACAAACCTGATGTTGGCGCTCGTTTTACCACTCCAAAACTTTTGGAAACAATTCTTGCAAAGTTTAATCAAAGTGTCATTATATTCGATTGCAAAAATTAAGACCTTACTTGGTTAATTCCTCAAGTTTGACCTCAAGAAAGGGATTTCCAGAAAATCTTTATTAATATCTTTAAATCTTCAGCTTTTGTCTTTCTAGAGTCTATTAAGGCTGTGCAAAGATAGATTTTATTCTGCGCAACAAACGATTTTATACAGGCCTGTCTTCTGAAGCACATTATGTTCCATTTCGATTTATCCTGGTACAGACAGACAGCTTCGCTACAACTATGTAGGTCAATGTCAAATAGAAGCAGTGTGTCATTGTTTCAGCTTTATAACTTTTTACGTTATAACGTTTCCTTGAATAAAAATGGTTTGGTAACTAGAACACTAAAGTTTAATCACGAAATCATTATAGGTACTTACCTGTAGTCTAAATTTATCTAAATCGGTTCAGTAGGTTAAGAGAGATAAAGTAACAGACAGACAGAGCTACTTGAATTATAATATGTAATAATATGGATGGATGTTATCATCATCGTGTTATTGTACTTGATTTAGGAAAGCATTAATTTGAATGTCACTTCTACTAAATAGATTGACGATTTTAGTTAAATTTTGTGGTCTTCTTGTCCGTCACAGATGTCCCTAGCCCCTGCTGCTTCACGGTGAACTTTATGACTCGTATTTTTGCGTTCTCATTGATTGATTCCAAGAAGGAACGGTGACGGCGCTGCGCTGCAGGCCCGCTGTATCGCTGACGAGTTATTTTCTGTTCCATTAGTCACGCGTGTATCCGGCGCGGGCGCAGGTCGCGTCGCTCTGCACTCTGCGTCTCGATAATAACGTAACACTGTTTGCAATAAAAAAAAACTCGTTAAAACGAAAGAGAAACGACTTCTTTTGTCGCTAAAGGGTAGTAGGTCAGTGAAAAGTTAAAGTAAAAGTGATTAAAAAGTTAAAAGGGACACACCGAAATAGTTTATAATTTTTGCCTTGATTTTTGGAACGATTGATTGGGTTTTAGTGACTGATAGTGTTTAATTAAAAGGAAAACATGACATGAGTATAGTGATTTCATCCAAGAAATTGTTGTTACTAGAAATGTGAGTAATGTGACTCAACTAATATGACATTGGATTGTGATAACAGTGCTGTGGAATTTATTTCTTTCAAATAAATCGTCTAGTGCTAGAGTCACGTTGTGTATAGTGTCTGTATTTACATAAAAGTTAAACGTTTACAAGTTCTCCTTGGCTAGGTAAGTTGGAGCTTTTATTTTTGAAGATGACATAATAAACAAAACAAATAATTTGTAGCTATTAGTTGTAAGGGAGAAGAAGAGACGAATAGTTTAGAAAATAGAAAATAATATGATAATATCATTACTTATTCAAAAGCAGAGGGTCAGAAGCAAAATGTTCATAAAAGTCATGTGTATTAAAAACTCGCGCGCGAACTATTCCTTGAGTGATCAATTCAGGTGGTTGGTAAACACAAACACTTACATCAAAAATCTCATCAACTGTTCATTAGCTAATGATTACCAAACTTTTTTTTTTGTTAAAATAGTACCTACTCATGATTGATCATTACCTATTGAAAACACTTTTGACGTTGACTGTCCTTTATTTGTTTCAATGTTGATTTTGAAGCGAGAAACATGAGGGTAAATTGTGTGTAATATCAATGATAAATGTAACTAAAACGAATAACATTAATTAACAATGTCGATAAATTGTCGTTTTTATAAAACTCATACACAAAATTCTCTATTGGTTTCTTCGCTTCTTTAGCATTTTCATGTTACCTACGTACACTGTACGTGGCCTTACTTCGTTCGTTCGTTTTGTATTTGCTGCACCACATGGCAACACGTTTAAAGCCGTTTGTACATTTTGTCAACACACGCTTTTATTTTCTTCGGTCATCCCACAGCCCGCCGTGGCCTCGATTTGTTGCGTGGGCGGCGCCCTTTCTCGCTCGCCGCCCACAGGTGCGTGGTAGCCCGTAGCCCATGTGGATCGGTGTTAGCTGACAGCAACCAGTCTTGTCTCTTGCAAAAGTTGTTAAACTAGTAGTAATCTTGCACCTGTTGATAAGTTATAAGCTGTTTTCATTACTGTCCTTTTCTCTATTACGAGTAGGTAGGTATTCATTCAGAGTTGCAGTAAATGATAACGACAATTTACTTTTTACGTATGTTATTATATGTTAAGTCTAGAAACAGCAATATACTGTACAGTGTATTGGCTTATCGTATCGTACCTACATGGTTTTTATGTAAAAATCGTTTTAATTTTGCAATAAAACAGTTTAAAATATGACTAATTAGTAGACGTCTTTCATGTTTTCAGTTATAAATATACCCAGCGATGAACCCATTTCGTTGTTTTAAAATACAAACAGGATAAAATGCTGTTTAATATTCATTGCAATACTATACTAGTAATAGTATTTTTTCCTGTGTAAATAATTATCTTCTTGTACATATTACTTTTTTGGCAGTTAGGCTGGATAAAATACGTAACATTCATTTTGAGTAATCATTTTCTTTCCTCAGCAATTAGTAAATCTCTGTGTAAATCGTTTATGTAGGTATGTAGCGTGTCAAGCCAAGTTCAAGTAATAGAACTGGCGAGCAGCACTACTGTGTGTAATTGGAGCCACTTTTGACATATAAGTACATAAACGTGTAAAATTTTGCTTATATTGTAACTTACATGATCAATTTCAACTAACACAAAATAATATTAAAAAAGTATTTTTTAATGATTGATTAAATGCCGATGTGATTCCACTCCAGCTAAATACTATACAGCATTTTACAATTAGTAAACACGATGTAGGTATATCTGACCTACCTCAACAGCTCGGAGTGTGCAGAAGTAAAGTGTGTAGTAATCATGTTTTAAAATTGTTACAGAAACTAAGATCTGAAAATCGAATCTTCAAAATGCAACGACCGATAATGCGATTGCTCATCTGGGCGTGTCTGGTGGGGCTCTGCTGGTGTCAAAGGGCGGAGCACCTGCTCGCACAGAACCCCTGTTCCAGCAAGACGAGCTGCAGCAACTGCATTCGCACCCCCAGCTGTGCGTGGTGCTTCGCCCCCGAGTTCAATGGACCCCGGTGCTTCAACCCCGCGATGGAGGGCGGCACCGCAGGCTGCAGCGAGGAGTATATCTTCAACCCGGACAACCAGCGCTCTATCGACCCTATATACAATAAGGAGCTGACTAGAGGTACCTAACTAATTTATTCATTTTATGTTGTCCTATAGGTAGTTGTAATAGCCTATTACTAATAGGCTTTACTCCCTGCAGACTACAGACTTTTAGTCAGCAGATAGTTGGGTCCGATTTTAATTTGTATGAAGAATCAGCCGATACCAAATCGGTGTAATGTGCGCACTGTCATACGTCTCCATACTGATTAACAGCCCGACCCAACTATCAGCCAACTAAAAGTCGGTGGTCTGCACCTAGGGTAACACTTATTTATACTTTCTATTACCCAACCAAGTCCTAACAAAATCATACCTAACTAATGATAATGACAGTTGAAATTCCATTGTCACATTGTATTGTGTAGGTAACGTGATGACTATTGAACGAATAGGCTGTTCTATCACTGTTTTGTGGTTCTACCTAATAATTTGATTGTGTTGGGAAAGGCCCCATGTATGATAAAGGTACTAGCTATACCTATTAAAACTATTTTTTATACTTAAGTTGAGTTAAAAATTATGATTACATTTTTACATAATATGAAATTTTAGTCTACCTACTAAACTATTTACAGTTTTGCATGTATACAAAATATGTGATTTATACCGGAAGAGATAATTGTCGCCGTTCATTAATAGTGTCAAAATAACTTCACTTAATACTAAAAGTCCTGATTTAGAAGCTGTTTTCTACTTAGTTATTAAATTAGCATTAAGAGTTGCATTTCAAACTACTAATTTAAGGGTAGGTATACCCAAGCCCAACATTGATGAAACAAACGCTGGCCGTAACACTTGAAAATTTCGACGGGTTCATCCAGTGTCTAAGTAGCTCAGTTGGAAGAGCAGTCGCCTGGCAAGCGAAAGGTCGTGGGTTCAATTCCCGCCTTAGGCAGTTCGATTTTTTCAAGTTATTTTTCTATTTGTTGTCGTTAAAGGCGTTTTCATTTGTAGCACAAGGCCGCATGAGCATGAGCTCGTCTACCTTCGAAGAGTCCAGCATGAAAGGCGGCAGCTTCGCAGCTGGCGGCGGAGGCTTCGGAGCAGCGGCTGGTGGCGACAACCTGGTGCAAATCAGGCCACAGCGAGTCAAACTGCAGTTGAGACAAAGTGAGTGAATAATTGCTATAGTCTGGTCTGCGAGCACGTAGAATTTTGTCCAATGACCCCAAGCTACCCCTCCTTATCGCTCGCGCGTAATTATGTTGCTGTCGCACTCGAACACTCACTGCGGGCGCCCGTCGCACAGTCGCGACAGCAATATAATTACGCGCGAGCAATAAGGATAGGTAGCTTGGACAAAATTCTACGTTCTCACAGACCGGGCTTTACCAAGATAATTCATCAATGTCTTCGTGATAAAGGGAAAATTGGGTACTATTATAACTTATAACAGGGTACGGTTGTAACAACTCGACTCTTGCTAGGTAGGTAAGGGGTAAAAAGGGAAGGGCGTGCAAGCGACAAGACAAGTAAGGTTGTATGGACTTCCCCTTGTACCCCTCACCTACCGAACATTAATAAATAATTACATTCAAGTTGTTACAACCGTACCCTGTTACAATACTTACAACCGTACCCAGTCACTCAGTACCTACAAATCAACTGTGTCTAATTGCGACTCTATTGCTGAAAGAATTCGCGTAAGTGGGGGCGTCCGTCATCTTTTTATTTATTTAATGCAATACGAGTAATACAATAACACTACCGTATCTTAAATAGGCGAGCAAAAATATGTTTGAAGGAAGTTTCGAATGCTCATGAATTTTAACAATGCGCAACGAATGTCTTGTAAGAATAGATTTCTTGCATTAAAAGGTTATTAGAATCTAAATATGACTATGTGTTAATTTTGACTCGATGAACACATTATTGACTGTAATAGAATGAGTCATGAGATGATATATTGTTGTTTTTATAAGAAAACCGTATGTTTACTTAATCAGCAACACTATATTACGTATTTACCTGCATTGTTAAACTAAGAACTTTGTTCGTGACTTGACGACATCTCACAAGCGTGACCCTACTCAATTACGAATTTATAGTAGCGTAGTTCTGGGTTTATAGTTCAATAAATATTGTAATACTTTGTGTTGTATTTAATACCTGCTTATTTATTAACTAGCGGCCGCCCGCGACTTCGTACGCGTGGATCCCGTTTTACCCCCTTCATCTATCTAACACGGTTAAGATTTTTTCATACAAATGTTTTTTCCCGCTAACTCCCGTTCCCGTGGGAATTTTGCAATATCCTGTTGTAACTAAGCTTTACGTTTACTAAGGTACCTGCATACCAAATTTCAAGCGTCTATCTTACGCGGTTTAGATTTTTTCATACAAATGTTTTTTCCCGCTAACTCCCGTTCCCGTGGGAATTTTGCAATATCCTGTTGTAACTAAGCTTTAAGTTTACTAAGGTACCTGCATGCCAAATTTCAAACGTCTAACTTAAGCAGTTTAGATTTTTCATACAAAAATATTTTCCCGCTAATTCCCGGTCCCGTGGGAATTCCTAAGTATCCTATAACCTGCCCAGGAGTATGAAGAATAATTGTACCAAGTTTCGTTAAAATCCGTTGAGTAGTTTTTGTTTCTATAAGGAACATACAGACAGACAGACAGACAGACAGACAGACAGACAGACAGACAGACAAAAATTTTACTGATTGCATTTTTGGCATCAGTATCGATCACTAATCACCCCCTAATAGTTATTTTGAAAATATATTTCATGTACAGAATTGACCTCTCTACAGATTTATTATAAGTATAGATGTGAGAAGGTACGGCATTGAGTTATATCAGAAGCTTAAATCTATTTTAATCACATCGAATGCACAGCAATAAAAATATAATGAATGAAGCAATAATTTAGTTGCTTTGACCCAGTTGCATTGCAATGTTGATAGTGATAAGTATGCGCTAATTAATTTATGCTTTAAATATAATGATTTTATCTGTAATGAGGATTTGGTAACTTTACTTCTTCATATCGTGTCGATAACAAACCTATACAGTGTAAGCCCAAAAGAGTTCTTACACTACTATTACTTCTACAAGAGTGGCGTTGTCAGGAGCATTCATTAAATATCCTTGCGTGCAGTTGTTTGGGCACGCAGGGCACGACATCATGTGCTTCATCGACTGTAACTTGACTGGTAAACACCAATACTAAATAATATTTCTTGTTTCATAGATGCGATGCAGACGCTGTCTTTCTCGTACTCCCAAGCTCAAGATTATCCCGTTGACTTGTACTACCTTATGGACCTCAGTCGCTCCATGAAGAACGACAAGGAGAAGCTCAGTACCCTCGGATCTCTGCTGTCCAGTACAATGAGGAATATTACATCAAAATTCAGAATTGGTTTTGGTTCCTTTGTGGATAAACTCGTCATGCCATATGTGTCAACTGTGCCTAAAAAGTAAGTTGGATGCTAGCACGTTATCTTAATATACCCATACTGATATTATACATACATGCGAAAAGTTGTGAAGACAGAAGGAAAAAAATCTTCATGATTGTTCACATAAAAGTACTTGATGGATTTTGGTGATATTTTATAATTATAACAGGTACATCAGCCATATAGGCTCTATCTAATTTTAAATCCATAGAAAAGTGAAAATGAAGTATAGCCTTTTATTTTCGGTGTCTAAAATGTGTCTTTTCCGTTTTTCATAAGGTTGTTTTTAATTAGTAAATGTGTTGTTTTAGCTTGAAATCGCCTTGCGAGGGCTGCGCTGCCCCCTATGGATTCATCAACCAGATGTCGCTTAGCACCGATACTGATAGTTTTGACGTAAGTTAATTTAGGTGTAGCGCTTAACTGAGTCAGTGTCTGAGGTATCGCAGTGGCACGGGAGTGGTGACATTGACATATTAAATAAATAATAATAATAAATGTTCATCTCCACGAGTTTGCATCGAAAACAAAACACGCGAGACTGACTACACCTCCTGTGGGTCTAGACAAAGTGCAAATTATAATCGCAAACCAGTCGATAAGTGGTCGAAAAGCCCCTTTTTTGTATGAAGTTTTGACGGATTCGATTTTCGATTCGATCAAAAAGTGCGTTTTGTCTAGGGGGGCTGAAATATCTAATCGACAGGACAATCACGAGCATTGACGCACGCACGTGTATTCTTCACCCATTTGCATTGTAAAGACAATAAACTATGTATGTAAAAACGGTGGTGTAATTAATACTGTGCAGTATTTTAACTGCCTGAAGAATAATAGAAACACAAAATATAATTCATACTCATGTATTTCCTCCGCCATTTTCCGCAGTTTGGCACCTCACGTCACACATCATTTTAATTTTACCGAAGTCAGCCCTATGGCTTCGGCACAGTACCGATCCCTGACGTTTGTCAACAAAATGGCGCTCGACTCTTGAGACAAGTTAAATTACACCATATTGTTAACGACATTGAGCATACATTTTTTTAAATACCTTCACGAAGGAAAACTTTTGTACGCAGTAGGTACCACAGAATAATAATAATTATAATATAACAAATTAACAATATTATACATAGAATGGTACTTATAGTGCGCACATTTTAGTAATTATAATTGTTTGTGGTTTAGAACGCATGTTATGCTACCTAGATTAAGTTATGCTATCGCATTAGGTTTTAAGTACCTGTAAAGATAGTGATAATGTGTGTGGAAATAAATAAATAAATAAATGTTTTATCATCAAGTACAAAAAGACAGCATCAATTTAGAGTAAATTTTGTTATTTCCTTCTATATACATACATATTTGTACATCCTCTGGAATTCCTTTGTGCTATTTCTAATTAACATGCATAAAAAATGATTGATAAAATTGTTTTCATGTAGGGAGTAACCTAAGGCATGTAATAAATTAATTTACATGAGTTCGGTTAATATAATAGCGAACCGACTGAATATTCGTTTCGGGGTAAAGTGAGTTGCATTTACGTGCTTAACATTTTACTATTTGCATACCTTTCTATGTTATTGAAAATTTCACTGTCAGCTGTGAAGGGTCATCGTCAGGTCATTTAGTCGACTCTGTATAATTTGACCTACACCGCCCACGCTGGCCAGACGAGTTGGGGAGGCTTGATATCCGCATGTGTCCCTAATAAAAATAGCGGGCAGCGTAGGACCGGTCTTTCCTGAACACTATACAGGGTGTCCCGAAAACAATGGATAACCCTGTAACCATCGATAGGCCTCGCCATGGTCTCCCTAACGTCTAATTTTGACCCTAGTAAGAACATCACCGTTTTCAAGATTTTTGAGTTTTTGTGCATTTTTAGTAAATTTTTACCTGTGATTACTTTTTCTCATTACCTTAAAAACTTCCTGGGTAAATTGAGATTCTAAAAAGATATCACAAGCCTATTTGTATTCTGTATTATTCTTATCTCATGGCTACTTGAATAGCAACTAGTAAGAAAACTGCAAAAAAGAGTTTTTCTCGTAATAAGTTAAACTTAGAGTAGGCGCACACCGTTGATTTTTCGTCGGCCGATAGTTTAGTCGGGCAGTTGATCAGTATGGGCATGTAAGGGAGTGTGCACACTACGCCGATTCGATTTGGCCGATTCTTAATACAAATTAAAATCGGGCACAACTATCGGCCAACTAAAAATCAACGGTGTGCGCCTACTCTAAGACTGCATAGTGGCATTAAATACAAATGGAAAATTTTTAGCGTAGGAATTTAAATAAAGCAACATTTTATCATCATCATCATTTCAGCCATAGGACTTCCACTGCTGAACATAGGCCTACCCCAATGATTTTCATAATGACCGGTTGGTAGCGGCCTGCATCCAGCACCTTCCTGCTTACCTTTATTGTTCTGCATAAAAATATATAATGTCTATTCCAGAGGGCAGTAGCGGACGCAGACGTGTCCGGCAACCTGGACGCGCCGGAGGGAGGCTTCGACGCCATCATGCAGGCCGTGGTGTGCAAGCAGCAGATCGGCTGGCGCGACCAGGCACGGAGGCTGCTGGTGTTCTCGACCGACGCCGGGTTCCATTATGCTGGGGACGGCAAGGTAATACAATGTTCCGCAAAATTTTTGTGTTCAATGTACAGTCGCAGAATGAAAAGGTTCGTCACCTTAGTGTCGGTTTTCGCTTGCACTAGGTACTGTAAGAGTCAAACCTGCCAACATAACAGTGCAAGAAACAGTGCTGCTAACATTTAAATAAATATGACGTTTGCTAACGAATAAGGTTTTGCTTGTTTATTTTTCTATCCCATCAGTGCAATGCAATGATGACATTGACCAATTGACAATAGTTTTTTTTATTTAATATAAATAATAATGGCAGGTTGAACCAACAAGAAGGTTTTAGTTTATCAATCATAATAATCTTCTTGACAAGATAAATCGTCAAACAACTATGATCAATAATTTTGAACTTTACTGACGAACAGTTAAAGGTTATTTTCTCTAACTCGAGATTATTCTGTAACATAGTTTCAAAAGGTTATATGTGTTCGCGATTCGTTGAAGGAATCAATTTGAAAACTGACGAACCTTTTCATTCCGTGACTGTACATCTAGGAAAACGAAATTTTTTGGAGGTACACCACAAATGAAAAATATTTTTTTAAGTAATTTGCCTTTGTTAGTCTTACCTTTGCTTACGTATGTACTAAAAATAAGTTTATAAGATAACCTTGTTTTTCCGAGGCACACCATCTAATGATCTCGGCCGCGGTACAGCCTTTGCGGAACACTCCTAAAACTCATTTTACTTTTGCAAGCATGCTTTTAAAAACACTTTAACACGTCCCAGTATTAACCCTACCACTGCTTAGGGACAATAAATAGGCCAGAGTGTTGAGATAATATAATATTGGAATGGCTGCATCCTCAAATTGGTCAATTTCAGACAGCGCCATCTAGCCCCAAAGTAAACAATTAATAATTATGCTTGTGTTCTGGAAACCAGCAAAAATATTTTTTTACCATTCCGTTATCTATCAAATGCTGGACAAAATGATAATACGCATTAATAAGCGATGGCTTAACCACAACAATTCGTCATTTACATCGCAATTTTCCTGCTGGTTATTGATATCGGCGGAACATACCGGAATTTAACAGACGTAAACATATCCAGTACAGATGCACCCGTTAATATAGATCCTACTAAAATAACTTTTATAGATATTTGATTTAATTCTAGATGCATACAATTATTATAAAGTTCATGATTTGTTTGTTACAGCTTGGAGGTATCGTTCAACCAAACGACGGAGAATGTCACATGGAAAATAATACGTACACGCATTCAACCATTCAAGATTACCCAAGTATTTCACAGATCAATCTAAAGGTAAGATATTATTTATTTATATCTGCTTTCTAGGATTCTGTTATTCTATTTTTTTATTTTTAACTGAACATTTGTGATTCAGGTGAAACAAAACGCAATAAACGTTATATTCGCGGTGACGACGGAACAAATTGGCGTGTACGAGGAACTGAGCAAACACATCGAGGGCTCAAGTAGTGGTGTGCTCAGTGAAGACTCGGGTAACGTCGTGGAGCTCGTGAGAGACCAATATAATGTAAGTGTTGTGAAACTTACAGGAATAATGAATCCCATCAAAAACAATACTTGTCAAAAAAACCAAGTCTCGCAACTCAGTTGTTCTACGGTAAAAAGTTGTGAGATCCATGTAATACCAAGTCCAGGCCAGGAAATCTTTAACGTTTTACATAAATTATTGACTTGGCCATCGCACTAAATAATTTAATTTACACGTGTTTTCATGCGATGGCCAAGTCAATATATTTATGTAAAACGTTAAAGATTTCCTGGCCTGGACTTGGTATTACATGGATCTCACAACTTTTTACCGTAGAACAACTGAGTTGCGAGACTTGGTTTTTTTGACAAGTATTGTTTTTGATGGGATCTCATTTCTTTTTGTATTTTGTAGACAGCAGTTATGTATCTAGAAAACTGGACCGAAATTGAAAAATTTTACTCGATTTGGCGGTTGCACTACCGTGCCCCCAAATCTCATTTCTTTTTGTATTTTGTAGACAGCAGTTATGTATCTAGAAAACTGGACCGAAAATGAAAAAAAATACTCGACTTGGCGGTTGCACTACCGTGCCCCCAAATATTTTAGTTTTTCCTTGATTCATACACCAAACACTACTTATATTCCAAATTTGAAGCTTCTAGGTCTGCTAGAAGTGCCTTAGAGTTTTGATGATCGGTGAGTCAGTGAGTCAGTGAGTCAGTGAGTCAGTGAGTGACAAAATTAAGTAACTTTGACCCGTTATAATTCTTAAACTACTGGTTCAAATTGAATGAAATTTGAAATATACCGTGTCTTTACAATGCCTGCATAGCTAATGAAAATTCAGCCTTCTAGTTTTATCCAGAACGAAGTTACAGGCGGTCGAAAATGGCCTGAATTGCTTCGAGAAAAGGATGGTACGGCCGTGCTCGACTTGGTGGGGGCACTGCCGTGCCCCCAGATAGAATTAAAATCGCCACGGATCTTTTCCCACCGCTGCATTCCTGTGTAGCCAATAAAACCCCTATCAGTAAAGGCAAATATGCCCAGGGGGAAAGGTAAACTCGGTACAATTTTAGTCTACCCTAAAAGTGACAATATCTCAATGGCGATGGCAGCGGACTGCTGTTTCGATATGTATTGTTTGAACCCACTCCTAACTTTGACCAGAAATGTACTGCCAACTATCAAATTGACTATCTCTAGAAAAAGTGTAAGCAATGTAAAGTTTTATACCTCTAAAAAACACCCTTTATAAATGACTAGCGGCCGCCCGCGACTTCGTACGCGTGGATCCCGTTTTACCCCCTTAGGGGTGGAGTTTCGTAAAATACTTTCTTAGCGGATGCCTACGTGATAACATCTACCTGCATGCCAAATTTCAGCCCGATCCGTCCAGTGATTTGGGCTGTGCGTTGATTAATAGATCACTATGTCAGTCAGTCAGTCAGCTTTGAGTTATTATATTTAGATAGAATATCTAGCTAGGCGCTATTTTGCAACAAAAATATAGTTGATGTCCATTTGACTGTACATTGATGCAGCAAAACATGAAGATATTTGAATTATACTGACATGATCACCGCTCTTGTGTACTTATGTGATAAAGCGGTAACAATTTACGTCGTTAGCGATAAACGCAGCGTACCTAATGAGGGTCGTTTCAAGATTAAAACGATTTCAACGTGTAATCCTGCACTGACGGCAATAATTGCTAGATTTCAGTTTTTGAGAAGTCATATCTACTTCTGATACATATTTTTATGTCTTTAAATTAGTATAGGTACATTCACAACTTAATTTCTAACAAATATGGTAAGTCATGTCCTACAAATGTAGGACAAACCTAAATAGGCTGAGTTGCACCATCTTACTTTGACTGTAACAAACGTCAAAAATCTGTCATATTCCATACAAAAAGCACCGGTTATCGTTAGAGTTACCGTTAAAGTTAGATGGTGCAACTCAGCCTTAGTGTTGTTGTGACGTAAGCTACACATTCGGTAAAACGACTAGACCAGAATAAATAACAAAGGTAGTCTATAATCATTTATAATCTAGGAGACCGTTATTCCAACTCATCCATGCTCGTAATTTGTTGCAGAAAATTACGTCCACAGTCGAGATGAAAGATACATCAAGCGATGCCGTGCAAATATCTTATTACTCATCGTGCAAGGGCGGCAAGGAGAAGGAGCAGACCAACAAGTGCGACGGGCTCAAGGTACCAAATTATATGATTACCGTGCCCATTAGCTTCGAATTGCAATTTTCTACTTATTTTTTATTGGTGGTATTGGTGGTTTAGTCAACTGTATTGCGATGCCTTGTTTTTTGCTACTTCCGATCTTTAGTAAATTTGTGTTTTTATTCACAACAAATACAAATATGTCGTCGTCGTCGTCGTTTCAGCCAAATGACGTCCACTGCTGGACAAAGGCCTCCCCCAAATATGTATTAGACCAAAACTATTTATCAAAATAATGTCAATTGTCATTAACATCGCACAGCTATTCGAAAAAAAATTCATGACTAACGGTAGATACGAGGAAATTGAAACAGTGTCGTTTTTTTTTAGGTTGGAGATGTAGTCGAATTCACCGCTGAGATCACGTTGAAGGAGTGCCCGAAGGACCCGGAAAAGTGGAAACAATCATTCCAGATTTACCCTGTCGGTGTGTCTGAGACCCTTCACGTGGAAGTGGAAATGCTCTGTGACTGTCCCTGCGAGCATAAAGGACACCATGTGAGTACCTATATGTTTTTACAACCGATATTTTTGTGATTAAATATTCCTTTATTAAAAAAATGTTTATTTGGTACCATATAAAAACAATACAAGAATTAACGTCACTGTAGTTTCGTCATTGCTAAATATTACCTACTTACATCAATCGAAATGAATCAGTCTTGGCAAGTGCGATTCGGAGCATTGTAATGTTGAACCGATGTGATGACTAAATTTCGAGTTATTCAAATAAAACGACATTATTGATGTGTGCATTGCCTGTAATAATGATGTTTAAATTATTTTATTTAATAGGTAGAATTTGTAGAATCTTCCTACAGGATCTTACATAAATGTAAACTTCAAACATCGCCATGCCTCGGTGTCATGGTTATTTCGTAAAAATGACTCATCTAACTAAAGTAAAATGAAAGAGTTAGAAACTGTTGTGTTTGATTATAAATGTTATCATAAAAAGCTTCCTAGTAAGTATACTTGAAACATCATGCATTATGGGATCAGATGTGTTGATTTATTGATTCCGATGTCGGCCGCGACTTGCTTCTGGTATACCGGAATAAAAGGACTTCTGTATTCAACGATGGCTCTATTCGCAGGCCTACGACGACAGCGTATCCGTATGCAGCGGGCAGGGGATCTCCGCTTGCGGAGTTTGCCTTTGCAACCCCGGGCGCTTCGGGAAGGGCTGCGAATGTTCGGCGCACGGCGGCGTGTCCCTGGAGCAGGAGCGCGGCTGCCGCCCCACCAACTCCACCTTCGGGCCGCTGTGCTCCAACCGCGGCACCTGCATCTGCGGCGTGTGCGAGTGCAACAAGATGGAGGACTCCTCCAAGGTACTCACTGACAGGGCGGGTGGCAGGGCTGCTAGGGCTCCGCGCACGGCGGCGTGTCCCTGGAGCAGACAAGATGGAGGACTCCTCCAAGGTACTCACTGACAGGGCGGGTGGCAGGGCTGCTAGGGCTCCGCGCACGGCGGCGTGTCCCTGGAGCAGACAAGATGGAGGACTCCTCCAAGGTACTCACTGACAGGGCGGGTGGCAGGGCTGCTAGGGCTCCGCGCACGGCGGCGTGTCCCTGGAGCAGACAAGATGGAGGACTCCTCCAAGGTACTCACTGACAGGGCGGGTGGCAGGGCTGCTAGGGCTCCGCGCACGGCGGCGTGTCCCTGGAGCAGACAAGATGGAGGAATCCTCCAAGGTATAGTTGCGAGCGGTTTCAGCCTTGCGCTTGAGCAAGTATAAGACATAGCCACTATGTTCCAACTTCTAGCCTTTTAAGACTCTTCTGAGAGCCTGTAACACGAAATAAATCTCTGTTTGAACTATCCGGGGGACGTAGTTTTGACATGATCATCACCTTCCATCGGTTAAGATGCAAGTCAACGAGTTTACTCATTGCGGGTTAAAAAACTGAATTAATTTTTATTGTGTTTTAACCTCAAGAAAATCAGGTCAAAGTTTTCGGAAAAAACACCGACAGAAAGTTTCTGTCGCTAACCGTTAGCAACAGAAAATGAAGCGCATCATGCGTGTGCCACGAAAGTAGGAGAGGCCTAGAATAATGTCATATAATTCCTTAAACTTTGTCTATTGAACACCTTAAATGAAGCCGTTTATATGCCTCAATAGGCTAGTTGCCTAAAAAAATTTTTTTAGTCCGTAATGTTTAATATCAAAAAATATTGGACACGTATAATTTTATTTGTCAATCTAACAAATAATTACATAGTTATGGTGCGTTGAAGTTGCGCACGACGTCACAACGTGCGGCATTTTTAAGCAAGCGTTGACGTCACGGGCCTCTTCTTATGAACTTTGGGGCGCTTTATCTCTTTAAATTTTCATTAGTTTGAAAAAGTGAAAAATACGTGTAGAGTATTTTTTGATAAGTTAACTGACGGACTAATTAAAACTCTTGCTTTTTGACCCAGGCAACATCCCCATTCTCCTGTATTTGTTATCAGGTGATATCTGGCCCGTTCTGCGAGTGCGACAACTTCACGTGCGACTTGAACAAGGGCAAGCTGTGCTCGGGCCCCGAGCACGGCGAGTGCGTGTGCGGCAAGTGCAGCTGCCGGCCCGAGTACACCGGGCCCGCCTGCCAGTGCCTGCGCGACCAGGCGCCCTGCCGCTCGCCCGGTATGGCTCTTATAGACTAATGCTGGATTTCTATATTTAATCCTAATACAAATTGGACGGATTTGGATTGTCAACTGTCAAATTTTAATATGTTTTTGGCCAAAATATCTGCGGTTTATGATGTTTTTACATTTTTATATTGTTTATAAGACTATTTAAACAATATTAAAGTGTAAATGCATCGAACATTTTGGAAATATAATCTAAAACTGAATTCAATTTGACAGTTGTAATCTGGATTTGGACAAGGATTGAATATAGGAAATGGGCGTAAGAGTAGGCGCACATCGTTGATTTTTCGTCGGCCGATAGTTTAGTCGTGCAGTTGATCAGTATGGGCATGTATGGGAGTGCGCACACTACGCCGATTCGATTTGGCCGATTCTTCATACAATTTAAAATCGGGCACAACTATCAGCCAACTAAAAATCAACGGTGTGCGCCTACTCTAAGACCTAGTGAACGCCTTTTATAAAAGCTGAAAGTTTGTCAGCGTATGCTCCCTATGTAGAATATAATGTTGGTGAATTATGAAGTTTGTAAGTCTAACTTTTACGGTGGCTTTTTCTGTATATTCAATAGACCGTAATTCTACTAACGTCATACCATTAAATCCGATTTTTATGTATAATATTAAAATTTGGACAATAATTAGAAGTATTTTCCTCAACAGCCAGACAGTTTTGACAGTTCCAACTCCTTGCCAGACAGTTTTTTTAGGGTAGCTCCCAAAGCCACCATGACCCAAACTTCATAATTCACCAACATTATATCCTATATTGGGAGCATACGCTTACAAACTTTCAGTCGTTCTCTAGCTCTTAGTCTCTTATGTAGCTGAGATTGGGGTGATATTACAATAAAAATGTTGGTCTGATGTGCTGTTGACTGTACATCCTGCCCTCGGCTGTAATCAAGTTTTCACTTCATTAAGGTCATCGGTCCACAGGTTTATTTATGCTGTGTCATATGGTTACATAATCGACATTCTCACTCATAAAATTATCACTATCGTGGGATTCCAAAATCATTCCTCTTCTGAAGCTAAAATGAAATAAAATAAAGCTAAAGTGGTTTTCTGAATAAAGAATAATAAAATAAATAATTCCAAAACTTGCATGCAAGTATCCGGGGAGGTTTACTTGTGGACTGGTTTCCTTTTTCAATCACTTTCCATTTACTGAGTTTTTTTTTTCATTAGAAAACGGTGAAATCTGCAGCGGCAACGGGAAATGTGTGTGTGGCCAGTGCGTGTGCAACGTCGACGACGATCGCCACTACTCCGGCAAATACTGCGACAAGTGTCCGGTAAGAAGATTGTTTTATTTTTAAATAGTTACTATGTTACAGTTCACGACGCCTAAGCTGAGCTTTGCATTTGTGTGAGTGATCACTAAAAGTAGAGTCAGACAAAAATCTTGTAACGTTAATAATAAGAGACTGTTTGAGTATTCGCAACAGCTTTGAGCAGACTATATGGCTCCAACGGTTGAATTAACAATGAAGTTGTTTTACTCATAAATATTGGTCGTTTTTAGGGCTAGTATGAAGTGCTTGAATGTCTACTTATCAACCCGGAAAGGGATCAACACCGTATTTCCTTTCGCCGCACTTACGTTACGGTACGGATATAGATGACCCACGCTGAACTGTCCCACCAAACTCAATGACGGGGGGGCGCTACCATCGTTCAACTATATGGTTTCCAACATGGCAAAAATCGGAACCAGCGATCCGGTATTGACGGTGGCGCCCCACTGTCAATGTTATGGATAGGACAGTTCAGTATTTTGGAACTATAAATGTGCGTTGCAGTACGGAGTTTCATACTAAGAATACTGACCGCTTCAAGTTGATACGGTTTCGATCCGTTTCGGGTTGATTAGTGTGCTTCGTTCTTTATGCTGTCAGTTCATCTCACTAATTGTCAGTCTCTATCAGCGCAGTGGTATCTTTGCCAGTGCTCCCTCAAGCCTCACTTACCCTCAATCTCCTACAGACGTGCCCGGGCAAGTGCGGCGAGTTCAAGGAGTGCGTGCAGTGCGAGGCGCACCATCGAGGCCCGCTGTACACGGAGGAGCCCACGGGCGCGCCCTGCGGCAACTGCGCGTTACACCCCATCATCGTCGAGGGCAAACTCGAAGGTACGTTAATACAGTACCCGGCATTAAATATTGCACATCGACCTTTGGAAAGAGAATCGGTTAATTTCGGCTCGTAGAGCGTTATCTCTGTCGCACACTACGATTGACAAAACGTCATTGACAAAACATTATTCAATGAAAATATTGCCCAAACCCTTAGTATTTCTCTTCGACAAATATTTTAACACATTGTGAACCACTTTTCTTTGATGACTATAAAAAGTTTTTAGCAATTTAATTCACAAAATCAATTGCACACATTTAAAATAAAGTTTGTTTACACTTTGCAAAACGTCATTGTCAGCCTTTGTTCAAGTGCGACAGTGATAACGCTCTACGAAACCGAAATTAGCCGATTGTCTCTTTCTAAAGGTCGATGTCAATATTTATCGCCGGGTATTGTACGTTTCTATTGTAGACCGCATGAATAGGTTTGGTTTACCACTTTGCGGGTAAGATTCGATCAGTAGCTTTGCCATGAGTTTACATTACATTATAATCGCTACCAAGTACGTTAATAAGGGTAATCGCTAGCGAGTAAATATGGCAATCTTTAGTTCTTAAAAGTCGCTAGGGGTGCTGTGCTGTACAAACTGTTATACATTTTTTTACGCAGTAAACTCATGGTAAGCACACAGATACGTATAGCAGAAAGATTTCTAAAAGAGACGGACGGAAAAAGACGTCACGTCGTAGGTGAATATTGTATTTTATAATCAAATTTAAAGATCAACTTTTTTAATGATTTATCTTTATTTATGAAATTTATAAATAGTACAAGTACTATTTAAATTATGAGGATTAAGGATTGTAAATTACTTCAGCACTGCTAATCTTTATGGTTGTTGCAGCGAACGAAACATTGAACGAGCATTTATGTAGTTTCTACGACGACGAAGACTGCTTGTACCTTTACGTGTACTCGTACGACGAAAACCAGCGCTTGCTCATCCGGGCGCAGAAGGAACGAGAATGTCCAAAGAAGGTATGTTTAAGTAGCTTAAATCTCAACTAAAATAGAAAGACACGGGTCTTAACGCTACTAATTTGTCGTTTTAATAGGCTAGTTTCCTAAAAAAAATTTTTACCCCGTCAATTTTAGTACATATAAAACAAATATTGGACACGTATTTTTAATTGTCAATCAAACAAATAATTACAAAGTTATAGTGCGTTGAAGTTCCGCGCGACGTCACAAAGTGCTGCACTTTTACGCACTCACTGACGTCACGGGCCTTTTCTTTAGAACTTTGGCACGCTTTATCTCTTTACATTTTCATTAGTTTTAAAAAGTGAAAAATACGTGTCGAGTAGTTTTTGATAAGCTAACTGACGGACTAATTAAAACTCTTGCTTTTTTACCCAGGAAACAAAAATAGGGATATTGTTTAGCAACCGTTTTGGTTAAAAATTATGCAATATTTTATCCCTGACTTTACATAAGCGTGTAATGTCGAATTGAAAGAAATAATAAAGACATGACATATTCAGCGTTCCATTGCTTGTCAAATCTGATCAAAATCTGCTCTGCGATTTAAGAAAGGGAGGAAACCATGACAAATGACTTTCGCTTGATAACATTGGCTAGCATAACTTTCAATAAACCTTTATTTTTGTATGTAAGACATACATAGCCTCACGTTAACGGAGGACACTCAGTTGACAGCTATTGACGAGGGTCACACCCGCTCCGTGTCGCGCTAGGGTCGTACACATCGATTCCAATGTAATCGGGATACAAACTAGAATATGTATGTTTTATCGTAATATGACGGCCAGACAGCGATGACAAAACAAGTTCATTGAACTAGATTTGACCCAAAACACGGACTAAATCAGTTTAGGCATTGTGCTTACAATATAATCTTTCGACAAGCAAATATTTATTTTATCATGTAAATGTCATAATTCTTTCGACAAACAATAATTTATTTTATCATGTAAATATCATAATTCAAGTGAACATAATGCAATGATAGCTTTGACATAATATCATCATCATTTGAAAGTGGGCAGGCGGGTGCAGATTTAGTGGGGATTAGCGGAGTCCTTAAGCAAAAAAAAAATGGTATGATATCAAAATTCTTGCATTCGTCGGCGACAGAATATTATGATTGAATGTCAGTATGTATGTTACTATTCGATAACTCGATAACAAGTGAGAGTCGTAACTTGTGATCGTCAAGTCCTAGGTAAATTGACGTTATAATTGCCCTTAGGTGTTCATCCTGGGCATAGTCCTGGGCGTGATCGCGGCCATCGTGCTGGTGGGGCTGGCGCTGCTGATGCTGTGGAAGATGGTCACCACCATCCACGACCGTCGCGAGTTCGCGCGCTTTGAGAAGGAGCGCATGATGGCCAAGTGGGACACCGTAAGTACAACACTGCTTTGGTTTTATTATTTCTTGAGTATGTGAAAACTTCATACACGCAACTGCTTAATGACGCGTTTCCACTGCGGCTGAGCGGAGCTTAGAGGAGTTGAAATTATATCGTATTGAAGCGGCGCGAGTGGCGTGTGAAATAAGTGAAAAATCCGTGTCAGTTACATTTATTTAATGTGTGTGATTTAATATCCTCTGTACTAAATAAAGGCTATAAATATTTTATGTTCTGTTAAATATATTGTAAGAACACGGAATAACCACTTAACATTAATTTTAAATGAATATTTACAGTTCCGTTCAAACGCCCGACCGCAGCCAAATGACAAAATGTAATATTTAAACTCGCTTCGCGGTTGATGTTGATATAATGCCCCCATAGGCTCAGTAAATCTATCGCGCGTCTCTTTTGTTGTCGCTCCCGCGGGAGTCATGCGATATTGTTACTATGAACACTGACATTACATTTTTCTTTTCTCTGGACAGGGCGAGAATCCTATCTACAAGCAGGCGACCTCAACCTTCAAAAACCCCACGTACGCTGGGAAATAATGTGGTTAACATTAACTTGACGACACTAAACCAACACACAAGTGTCTGGAGCGGTGAAGACATTTTCTTCGTTGGTTGCATTTCATAAGTAAAATAGTAGCATTAAAATTGTGAAAGCTTATTGCTGGTGTTAGAAAAAGTTGCCTTATATTGTGCCTTTCATATATTAAAACATGTTTTAGTGTTTATTATACACTCATCCGCACATTATTGACTAGACTTAATGTAATATTACGTGACTATATTTTTGTCAGTTTTAAAAAAATGCAAAAAACTGTTTCAATGCTTATCGAATAGAAATTCTGCGTTGCAAATTTTAAGGTCTGGAATAATCTCAATATTATTATATTGAAAGCGTTTTGTACTTATATGAGGGAGCGGTATGTGCTTATGTGTGTGTAGATGTAGACTCGGCAAGGTACAAATTGAAATTTAGCTTTTCTTGCTTGAAAAGTTTGTAGCTTCCAGAAAAGTAGTGTTGTAAAATATCTGTCACAACGACCTGTTTAATTGTAGAAATATTGTATTCAGAGGCAATCTCGAGTCTGGAAATCAGTACATTATTTTTTTGTGGATAAAGATTTTGTATGTAGTCATAAAAAGAGTTTAGACGTTATAGATGAATGAAATTAGATGTGTTTGTGAACGTGTGTAAGGGGACTCATTTTGGTTGTCTGTATTGTCACTGCCAACAGTCAAGGTTTAATAGGGTATTTTACTACAGTCTGCCTTATTTTACTACATTATTTCTTGTACTATCTTTCTTTCTATTATCTTTCCTACACTTCTATTATACGTGTGCAACTCACATTTATTGTATTATTAATTTTTTAATTTACTTATAAGTAACTTCATCAAAAAAGGCAAAAATAGTAAATTTACCCTATTGTCTTCATCATATTGTGTATGAGAATGTATATTTAATAGATTCAAGTTGGCTTCCCTAATATTCTGGTGCCTTATATTATACACCCTATTAACAGTAAATAATAAAACTAGTGCCATTACTAATATATAAATGAAGCGGTATTCCGTATGTAATATTTATTAAATTAGATATTTTGTAATGACTTGAATATTAATTTTATTCTGTAAGTGACATTTCTGATTATACGTAAGTTCAATTTTGTATTTACCTTAATTAATAATATTTTGCATTTTTGTCAAGTTTTTCTATCGTTATTTATAGGTATTCTCTGACAACACTTTAGTCTTGCCTTTGTAAAATTATTTAAAACATACTTGAAATATTTGAATAATCTGTAATTCAATATACCTAATAAGAGCTTAACCTTTAACTGGTGACATGGTTTTTGTGTAACGTAACTGGTGACGTACGGTCTGAGAGGCCGCTACCGTATCAAGACTGTAGCAAAGAAACTAGGTAAGGTAGCATACTACAATCTTTAAAAACAGATTATTAGCATATAGAAGAATTAAATTTAAATATAATAATAAACTCTAAATATAATTTTTAATGCAGAACTTGCCGTTAAATTAAATGTAGTAATAAAAATCAAAAAACTAGAGATGAGATCGATAATCGCAAACAAAGAAATTTAAATCAACAAATTATACCAAAATTATTATTTTTTCTTATAGTTCAAATAATAATCAATTAAAAAAAACCTATCACACGTGGGTAACCTATCAATTTAGAAAACTAGCAGTGGTGTAACTTTTGTATTTTTTATTAGCTGTCAGAGCATTTATTGTTTGGCATAAAGATGGACCGACATTTTCACTTTCTGACTGATTCTCGTCAATTGGTCCTTCATCTTCAAATACACTTTCTTCAGCTTCTGAATCATGGTCATTTTGCTCCAGAACGATGTTTTCAGGAACATAATTCGGCTTTCGACCCAATTGAGTCTTCCTTTTCCAGATATTTTTCAACTGGCGAATTTTCAAGTCGTTTCATAAAGTATGGCACTATATTCTCAACTAATGATCCTACGCTTCCTTTTTTGGAGTTATTTAAGTATCAATTGCAAGTAAAAACTGTAAAAATACGAAAAACTGGATGAAAAAAATGTCACGTAACTGGTGACATGCGGTCTGAGAGACCGCTGCTGAACTTTACATCGATGTAACTTGCCGATTTAGAGCTGAATGATGCAAATATCCTTATCTACGGCGTAGACAAAACTAAACTTGAAGCTACTGAAGCGGTGAAATACAGGAAGTACGGGGAAGGGGGTGAAACGATGATTCACTGACACCGCCCGGCCTGTGAGACCGCTTGTCACCAGTTAAAGGTTAAGTTTATTTTCAATATTTTCAAAGAATCAAAATATAAAATATACGCCAATAGAGGTTTTGAGATATTTACGTTTGTATATAATTATTTTGATAAATCTATAAATTATTTTTATTTTGTCGTGGTCTCTAATAGTAGCTAATAAAAATATTAACTCTACTTTCCTTGTTTTATTCGAAATATCTTCCACTATAAATAAATATTTCTTAAAAAACAAGCAACACTAAACTGTCAATTTCTAGGAATCCAAGGATGTTAGATCAGTTTATATTTTCACCATTCAGACAAGTTTACTAAGTTAACCTACCTAACTACTAACGAAAACGAAACTTACTTAGCTTATTGGCCGACACGTGCGACCGCCGCTGCCAAGAAATTAATCTGTGGCTTATTGTTGTCAACACTTGCACCACCTAACTTTAACGGTAACTATAACGATAACCGGTGTTTTTTGTATGAAGTTTGACAGATTTTTGACGTTTGTCACAGTTATGGTAAGATGATGCAACCCAGCCTACCTACATATAGGTACATCTGTTCATATTACACTATTATTACCTATTTATGTATGTACTAGGTAGGTACTCTGTCAATTTCCATAGTGTACCTACGTACGTACGATACAGAAATTTGTTATCCTATAGGGTTAAAACATCCTAAGTAGGTAGCTACTTATAGTTGCTAACAAATAACTTTTTATTATTTCTATGTACGAGTAGGTACTCGTATTTGTGTAGGTAGATATCCGTGGGCAGGGAATAATTCCCTAGTTACCCTTAGCAATATAGACTTTTTTCGTCAAACATATTCTGCCCAAGGCAAAAAGTGGGCTGTTCTCAAATTAAGGTTAAAAAACAGTTTTTATAAAGATAAAAGTTAGCTAGAGAATGTCCTATCATTATTTTAAGAACATGTTGAACTAGCCAGTTAACGAAACCAACCTTAATAAAAGGTTTGGGAAAAACTTGGAAATCACACAAAAAATTTAAAAAAGCTACGTGATTACAGGATAAAGTAAAAAAAATAGACCAAGATCTATCTAATGGGCTAACTAGCTGACTCGGTAAACTTCGTACCACCTAAGTTCATCAGAAAAAATGAAGGATCCTAATACTTACTCTATACAAAAAAAAAACAATCATATATTTCCTCTTTGTAATAGTATAGTAGACCAGTGATGGCCAAGAGGTCGACCGCGAAGACTATTTTGTTAGCCCGCGAGAGTTAAATAAACTGCACTTATTTATTCCCGCCATAAGAACACTATCTATCTACCTATAAATATTTCACTCTTTTCTAAACTCTACCTTGCAGTCGACCGCAAGAAATATTTTCGAGCATAAGTAGACCTCACAGGTCAAAAGTTTGGCTACCCCTGCGGCCCTGGTGTATCATGTGACTTAATTGCTAGATACTTATTATTGTGGAGAAATGAAATGGTTTATCGATACCCTTACCCTTATCATTTAATATCCTTATGGTTGTTTGAGTAAAACTAACTTATATTACCCCTCGGGCTTCATGGGGTCGAGTGTTACGGTCCTGGCACACGTCGGACTGGCTCACAACAAATTGGATTTGATCCTTCGGCGGTAATTCGAGGAATGGACTTCACCTTTCGGTTGGAGGCCCAACTATATTTTAGTTGCATTTTACATGAGGGATAGTGATACTTTTTACATCCGCAATGTGAAAGTTTGATCTGGTTACAAATAACATAGCTAAAACAAGCACACGCTCACTACTTGACTGGATATCAAGATTCAAAATAGCAATTACGGGTTTGAGTTCTGAAGATAGAAAAGGTACAAAATCAAATGCTATGTGACGAAATTAGCATTACGAAACAAATTATTTTGTACATACACGTCCTACGTACATCGTACACGTCTATAACAGTAAGTAGACTAGGTAGATACAATTTCATGGCTAATCAATAACTACGTGACTACGACAAAGTAAAAGCGCTTAAAGTTGAAGTTTTCTTCTTCTAACGCCAAGTTAGAAAGTTTTGGTTTTATTAATTCTCTGTGTAAATAAATTGCTGAAACTCTTATTGCATTTTCCACTTGCACTTAATAATTCTCTGAAGCAAGTTGGCGTCGTAGCACGATTGCTACGTAAATAAAAACAGTTGCGAATTAATTTTATTGAACCCAGCGTGTTTTCCCTCGCCGCGTTGTCTTCGTTTCAATGCACTTTGTTTGTTGTTTCAATCTCGAGTAGTAGTTAGTTTGTAGGTACTGTAATGTAATAGGTGATCAAAATATAATTACAACTTTGTGAGAATAACATAAATAAATAAATATCCTTGGACATTTTACACTGCGCTTCTAGTCCCAAACTAAGCAAAGCTTGTACTATGGGTAGTTACTTAGACAACGGATATAAACATACTTACCTAAATACTTTTTTTTTGTAAATACATACTTATTATACATAGAAAAACACCCAGTCCAATACAAACAAATATGTTCATGCACACAAATGTTTGTACTGTGCGGGAATCGAACCCGCAACCTCCGGAATAGTAGTCCGTTTCGATGTTCGACATTTTAGTTTTATTATAAATCTGTTGCATTTATAATCAATACTAAGTATTCTTGTTTTGTTTAATCTTAGTTAGACGCGCTTTGAACTTGATCGATAAGTTTAAAAATCTGTTGTATGTAGGATCTACAAAGAAATCTTTTAAATTAAAAGTATGTCGTCAGAATGTTGATACAATATCAAGATTCATGAATTAAAAAAACTGTATACGTTACAAAGACTGGAAGGTCGTCCAATGAAAATTATATCATTAACTCAACACATTTGATTAAGTACCTACTAAAACCGTAAGTCGCAAAGCAGGTCAAAAGCTATAAGTTAAAAGCACCTACCATCAATTTAAGGTAGCACTTACAGTATGTTATTTCCGTCATACATGTGGTCATATGTAGTTCAAAATATATCACATGCGTCACGTATGTCATCATTGCATGGTCACAATAACAATATACTGGAACCCTTATGATCTATGTCTGGCCTCATCCTTTGGTTAGCGCAGGTAACGTATTTCTGCAGTATATTCTGAATGTGTCATAAACTTGTCAGAGCTGTTATGACACTGTCGCCTAGATCCGAATCGGGGCCACATGCATGCAAGTAGCAATAAAGACAGTTTAAGAAGAGACTAAGGCTGAGTTTCACCACCTAACTTTGACCGTAACTATGACGATAACCGGTGTATTTTGTATGGAGTTTGACAGATTTTTAACGTTTGTCAAAGTTAAAGTAAGATGGTGCAACCCAGCCTTAGCGAGTTCAGGCACAGAATAACAATGTTCAGGGAACTGCTATTAATTTATAACTACTTACGATGACACTGAATAAACATTTTTTCTTTCTTTCTTTCTTTCTTACTTAAGTACTTATTCTACGAGAGTTATCTATTAGGAAAGGGTTTAACCACAATATAATGAGTAGAGATTCTTTACTCTGTGGTTAACTTTTAGGGTACTTTATTACTCTTAATATAATAACTAGTTAAAATAAATAGAAATAATTTTAAAATAATACTTTAAGCGGCTTTGTATTCGTGTGTAGATAAGTACTGTTGGGCAAACCCTTTTTGATCATGGTGTAAATATATAATGATAGTGCAGTCCATTCGGTATAACGCCTAGGCCCGCTCGTTTCTGTGAATGGAGCCAGGAATTCTCACCTGACTTTATTAAGGGATTAACTTTCATCAGAAGTCTTGTTTTACAAAGGCAAACACCCCTTTTTACGAAAGCGAACTTGTATTTCGATTCGCACATTTTATTTCAAATGTGAAACTTACTTACTTCATAAACTATGCAACTAGGTACTTAAAACTGCATCTTACCTAGGAGTCTTCCGTACATGGTGAAATATGAAGGTATCTAAGTAAATATATAAAAGGAGAAACTGACTGACTGACTGACAGATCAACGCACAGCCTAAACGGCTAAACGTAGGCACTTGAAATTTGGAAGGGACGTAGCTTAGGTACCGTAGAGGTGCACTAAGAAAGGAATTCCCGAAATTCCCACGGGAACGGGAATTAGCGGGAATAACGGGATTCACGCGTACGAAGTCGCGGGCGGCCGCTAGTTTTACTATACAAAGGAATACTTCTAAAATGCACTTTACTTGAAACCTTTTCAACACAACGATAAAATAGAACATTTACAATTTCTCAGAAATGGGAACAGTTCTAGAAAATAGGTAGGACTTAAAATTTTCCTCATTAAATGAAGGTTTAACTTATTTTCTTGATTTTACTGGAGATTGATCGCAATCAAAGCTTTCAGCACATCAAAAGCTTTTAGTAAATTGTATAGGTACTTAGTGTAGGTAGGTAACTATTACTAATAACAAATCATCCATTTTAACCTTAAAGTAAGATGTTGCCTAACTGGCGTCACCGATGATTTATGATTATCGAATCATCGGCGAATGTTAATGCATACATTAGCGTCACTCACAAATATTTTGTTGGGAAATTCAATTTTCCCGAATCTCGTAAAAAGTATATCCACGTTATCAGTTCGACAGCTCATAAGGGGGATTGTTTGTCCCTCGAGGTTTATTTTACATCAGGGAAGTAAATTGGGCCACCAGAATAAGATTGGCTAAATTCGGAAAAATATCAAAAATATGAATAAGTAGCTGGCTAATATAACTTTAGTAGGTACTTAATTTGTACCAGTTAAATACTATTCTAGTTGTTGTTGTGCCACTATAGTTGTTCCTGGCCAAATTAGTAGACCGATAAGTATGTTTTTTCTACTATAAAACGGCGACTGTATCATCATCATCATCATTTCAGCCACAGGACGTGCACTGAACATAAGCCTCCCTCAATGACTTCCATATCGCACGGTTGGTAGCGACCTGGCCCTGCATCCAGCGCCTTCCTCAGATTTCCTTATCAGACTGTATAAATTACTATAATACCTACTAATTACCTTTAGTTAAGAAATTAATATAAAAAATGATTAATTAAATTGGCTTTAGTACCTAAAAACGGATTTTTTTGCGTACTTACCTGAATATACGAGTATTTACCTAAAACCTTTCAAACATGTCTCTAGTAGGGTGAAGAATATACCTCTTAAGAGATAAAATTTGCAGAAACCCCTTCTCATG